CTAGGGATGCCAAATATTTATTTATGACTTTAGAATGACCAAAATTAATGGGTTTGAATGGAAGAGACTAGAAAGGCTTTGTTGATGAGGTGAGTCTTTTTTTTTTGAGACAGAGGCTCGCTCTGTCACCCAGGCTAGAGTGCAGTGGTGCAATCTTGGCTCACTGCAACCTCCACCTCCCGAGTTCAAACAATTCTCCTGCCTCAGCCTCCCGAGTAGCTGGGACTACAGGCACAAGCCACCATGCCCAGCTAATTTTCGTATTTTTAGTAGAGATGGGGTTTCACCATGTTTGCTAGGATGGTCTCGATCTCTTGACCTTGTGATCTGCCTGCCTCGGCCTCCCAAAGTGCTGGGATTACAGGCGTGAGCACCCAGCCAGTGAGTCTTTTTTTTTTTTTTTTTTTTTTTTTTTGAGACAGAGTCATGCTCTGTGGCCCAGGCTAGAGTGCAGTGGCACAGTCTCGGCTCACTGCAAGCTCCACCTCCCGGGTTCAAGCAATTCTCCTGCCTCAGCCTCCCGAGTAGCTGGGACTCATGGAATTTGAGGTAGACAAAGAGGTGATTAGTGGAAAAAAGCAGGAAAGGGAATCTCAAGTGCCTTGTTTCAGAACTGGGCCAGGGTAAAATCTACCGATTACTTGATGATAGTAAAGCTCATGAGTGCCTGTGTGCTAGCCAGGCAGTTACTGCAGGTGCAGTTGGTGGTGGACATTAAACTCCATGATTAGGAGCTTTAATTGATCTCAGAGGTCATTAAGCCTCCTTGCTCAGCTCTGAGAAGGAGTGTTATCTGAGGTCAGCAGCAGCAGTCTCAGTGCTGGCTTTGGCCTATTTTGAAGCTAAAGAACAGCAGAAGATTAAGGAGATTAAAGAAAATATAACCTTCAATCCTCTGTGTTTTGCCACTACCTAAAATGACCCTTTAAAGTATTTAGTATCTGAATTCAGGTCACATCATCAGCACAACTAGGCAGAGGAGAATAGTGATTTCTTTCCTGCCTATGTTCATTATTGAAGAGTGATATATATTAATAAGCATCACTAAAACCATCAGCAGCATGGCATAGTGGAAAAAGCACTAGGCTAGCATCGTGTGACACTGTTTGAGTTCTAGCTCTAAGGTTGGTTAGAACTTCAAGGAAAAAACAAATAGGGAGTTAAATTGCAGGTGACATGGTCACAGGGATTTTTTGTGGTTGTATTCTAGATGTTTACTGGATGCCTATGTTGTAAAAGGCAGCATGCTAGGTGTTACTGGGACTATAAACATGAGTAGGATACATGCCTTGTCATCAGAAGTTTATCAAGGGAAAAAGATGCATATACATAATTGTGGTGCTGGCAATGGTGATGATCATCAGAACAGACACAAATCCAGGGAAGACGTAGTAGAAAGATATGGGGAAAAAGAAAATGTGTATTGGATCCAGAAGAACAAAGCATTGTCTATACCCGAGACAATAGTTGTTTGCTTCATTAGACAGTTTGATTTTCTGTTACCAGACTATAAGCAGTAATTAAGGTTTGATAATCTTTAGATGTATAAACTCAGAAGAATTTATCACAAACATTTAATTTGGTTTATAACTATAGAATTTTTTTAAAAGAGGGATCTCAGTGAATATCTATTTCAACTAGTTTATTTCATGAATTAGGAAACTTAGGTCAAAGAGAAAGTGATGTGCTGTAAAAGGAAGAACCAAGACAAAACTCAGTTTTCCTGATTCGTAATCCAGTGATCATCTAGCATGCTGAGTTTGGAAAGATTTTTATGAGGCAAAGGAAAGATTTTTATAAGAAGCAAAATCTTTCAGTTTTTTTGTTACCTCAAGAAAGTGGTAGTATTTCAGTGCTATTGAAAGGCCAACTCAGGCTGGGCACCATGGCTCATGCCTGTAATCCCAGAACTTTGGGAGGCCAAGGTGGGGTGGATCACACGAGGTCAGAAGCTCAAGACCAGCCTGACCAACATGGTGAAACCCTGTCTCTACTAAAAATACAAAAAGTTAGCCAGGCATGGTGGCGGGAGCCTGTAGTCTCAGCTACTCAGGAGGCTGAGGCAGGAGAATCACTTGAACCCAGGAAGCAGAGGTTGCAGTGAGCCGAGATTATGCCATTGCACTCCAGCCTGGGGAAAAAAAAAAAAAAAAGGCCAACTCAAACCTTTCTGGAATTTTGTTGTTGTTAACTTGTAAAGTTCATAAAAATAAAAGTTAAACATATTACTCCTTCTTAAAAAGACATTTAAAGTGGATGAATTTTCTCCAATATTTGCAAGTTTCTAATTTTAGTCATTCACTTTTAAAATTTAGGCCATTTATGTTTTAATTTTGCTTAAAATTTTGATAGTTTAAGTGAAGCATATGGAACATGAAAAATAATGTGATTATACATGTATAATTGGATAAAAACCATAGGAAAGAAATAAAATTTTTGGAATCAGTTATCCACAAGACCATTCAAGATAAATCTTAACTGATTTGGCAGGTAATACTGCAATGGTATTGAGAGTTGACAAGACTGATTTTGCATTTAATTCTGTCAAGAGATTTGAAAAAACAGGTTTAAAATAACCAAGGAAGTAACACAGACTAGCTAAAAGTAATTGCTTGTAACTAAGATTAAGGTGTAATGCTTCATTAGTACATTAGGCCAGTGTTTCTCAAAGTGTGGTATGAAGCAGCCTCCTGACATCATAATCACTCCTGATTCTGTAAAAATGCAGATTCCTGAGCCTTTGATTGACAAAATCAGAGTCTCTGGAGGGTGGCATACTTGATATACACTAGGGACATTTTCAAGGGGGCAAGAATATGTTTCTACTGAATCTTACTGTTATTGGTCATGTCTAGTGATGTTAAATAAAATTTATGGAAGACAGCTGATTTGGACTGAGCTCCTGCAATAGATCACAACAGACCAAACCAAAATGAAGTCGTGCATGCTAAAATTCCACATCACCGAACCAAAACTAACTTGTTTATCTGATTCTCTAAGGGATCAGGAGAGAGATGATAGCCAAATCCCCAAATAGGTCAGTTTTAACCGGTACAATAAGGAAATCCCATCTGGTTTAACCTTTATGAGGAAAGTAACCTGAAGTAAACTGATGTTAACCAATCCATTATTTGTATCATGCTGTTTCCTTGTTCTCACTCAAGCTATATCACAAAATTGACTATGCTGCCACACCCAGTATAGCATCTGTCTATTTTTAGGTAAGATGTTGCCCAATTCATTGATTCCAAATAAAAGTCAATTTGATCATTGAATTAAATTTGTTGCAATTTTATCTTTACAGATTTGAAATAGAAGGAAATGGGTATAGACAGCAGAGACTTCTTTATTAGTAGATAACAGATCTGAGAAACCAAACCTACATGGAGAACAGTCTCAGGCCCTCTGCCTGCTTCGCACAGGCTCTTGCTGATTTGTTTCCTGTGTCTTTCCCGGCAATGCTGGTGTTCTTAGCAGTCCTTTCCTCAGGCCCTCAGCTCTTCCCATGATACATCAGCTCTAGCTGATTTTAACAATGCCTGGCTTCAGAATCCACGACCCCAATAGTTTTCCTCTGACCTCTGTATCTACCTGCATTCTAGGTATCTGCCCTCTCACTCAAGCTTACCCCTGTATTTCCCATGGTATTTTACAATGGTCCTGTTGTTTCTAAAATGGGCAAAAAATAAGGTGCAAAAGAGACAAACATCTCATTAACATTTTGGAAAGAGATGTAGAGTTGTCCCTCAGTATCCATGGGGGATTGGTATCCCCCAAGATGCCTAAATCTGCAGATGCTCAAGTCCCTGATATAAAACGCTGTATTTACATATAACCTAGGCTCACCTTCCCATATACTCTAAATCATCTCTAAATTACTTGTAATACCTAATACAAAGCTTACATCACTTCATTTCTGTGAATTCAACATAGTATTTGGCATGTGGCAAATTCATGTTTTGCTTTTTGGAACTTTGCTTTGTGGAATTTTTTTCTCAAGTATTTTCAGTCCTGGGTTGGTTGAATCCACAGATATGGAGGGCCAACTGTAGGCGTCACTAGTTTGGCCCTTGATTCTGGCTCGAAAATTGGTGGTACCAAATTGACCACTTGTTCAATATAGCTAGTTAATTCAACTCACCGAGCAGATTTCACTGTTCACTATGGGATATTTGGAACACATGGGATGCTGGCAGCAATAACTTTAGAAATTTGAGGATCAGAGATACGGCAATGGTGTATATTAAGTCTGAAAAATATTCATTAAATAATGATATTAAAAACAGCTAAGTAGCATACATATCTAACATATAAATATGACACTTAGAAGGTATTCTTGGCCAAGCATGGTAGCTCACCTGGTGGCTCACTTTGGGAGGCTGAGGGGGGCAGATCACTTGAGGTCAGGAGTTCTAGACCAGCTGGCCAACATGGTGAAACCCTGTTTCTACTAAAATTACAAAAATTAGTCAGCTGTGGTGGTGTGCACCTGTAATCCTAGCTACTTGGGAGGCTGAGGTAGGAGAATAGCTTGAACACAGGAAGCTGAGGTTGTAGTGAGCCAAGATTGTGCCACTGTACTTCAACCTGAGTGACAGAGGGAGACACTGTTTCAAAAAAAAAAGCATTCTTAGATTTGAATCTTTTTAAATATTTTAAACAGATATTTCATTTTCAGAATTTGTGGGGTTTTTTTTGTGATAAAAGTAAATTAGAATGAAAAAGCTAGTAAGTAGTGTTTAGTATTCACAACCTAAGAAATGACATCTCCAGCTAATCAGGACGCCCAATCCTGAGAGCTGTTGGAGAAGTAATACAATTGGAGAAAAAAGTGGGCTTTGGGATGCTGTGGAATCTGGGCTCTGGCTAAATTTGCCTCCCTGAGAGATACCCCTACAATTGTTGCAGGGAAATAAGATCTCTTAAGAACCAGGAAGAGATTTAGCAGTGTCCTCTGTCAAAGCATGGCCCCACTCCAAATAAACCATCTTCTCTTTTAGAGCAGAAACTTTGCAAATCGAGGAAAGGAAACTGCAGCAGCACTGTGTGTGGGCAAGACCCCCAGTCCCACTTGTGCACATGTACAGAGGGATACACCTTAAGCCGAGACCGGAAGTACTGTGAAGGTAATGACTGGAAGTACTGTGAAGGTAATGGAAGAGTCGCTGCTTGAGTGGAGGAATGCCTAGCTGAGCCAGCAGCTTGTCTTCAGTGGGCCAGCCAGAGCCTCAGTTGGAAACCAACTTCAAGTCCATGCTGCCCCTCTCCGACACAACCCCTGAAGACTATTATTTATTTATTTTTTCTTGTTCGTAAAGCCTTTATAATACTTTCATATCTTCTTTATATCTTGTGTTTCTAGATCAAACACTCTGAGAAGATGCTTAGGGATTGATATAAGTCAAGGATTCTCTAAGTGGATTCTACCCACCTCTGTGTTTGTGTGCAAAATTTCAGTACATGTACATTTTTAGGAGAGTGGTTTCATAGTGATCATAGATTCTCAAAGAATATGTGACTCTTATCTTATCCCATGAAGATCTAGTAGGAAGCTTGGGAAACTGAACCAGGCTGGTCGTCTAGGGATCCTCCTGTTTTGAGATTCTGGACCAAGTGCAATGAACCCAGGAGAAATACTATGTCTTTTTTCCTGGAAGGTGTAGTAGTGCAGTGATGAAAGGGATCCAATGACTGCAGCACTCATCCAGTGGAATTAGTTGGGGTGAGACCTCAGGTAAATCTAGCATCTGCCTGATAATTATAACTCCCTCTGGACCAATGGATGGAAGCCATGGCATAGAGAGAGTGAGCTGGAAGGCTGGGGCTTCAGCCAGAATAAAACTGCTGGAGAAGGTTTCCACATTTAGGGGAAGGGCTCCAGTCAGTCTTGAAGGGTGAAGAGCACAACAAGAAATGTCCTAAGCTGGGGCCGGGCACAGTGTCTCACGCCTGTAATCCCAGAACTTTGGGAGGCTGAGGTGAGTGGATCACTTGAGGTCAGGAGTTCAAGACCAGTCTGACCAACATGGTGAAACCCTGTCTCTACTAAAAATATGAAAATTAGCTGGGCATGGTGGCATGCACCTGCTATCCCAGCTACTCAGGAAGCTGAGGCAGGAGAAACACTTGAACCTGGGAGGCAGAGGTTGCAGTGAGCCAAGATTGCACCACTGCACTCCAGCCTGGGTGACAGAGTGAGACTCCATCTCAAAACATAAAAAAGAAAAAGAAAAAAGAAATGTCATGAGCTTGAAAAGAGCTTTCAAGAGTCCCTAACTTAAATGGCATGCTATATCTTTTCAAGGGAAATACTACTACTTTTTTTTCCAAGGGTAATTCTAATATGAAAATCTGTATTTGAAACTATAAGCTGGGCCAGACATGGTGACTCACGCTTGTAATCCTAGCGCTTTCGGAGGCTGAGGCAAGATCACTTGAGTCCAGGAGTTTGAGATCAGCCCGAGCAACATAGCAAAACCCCATCTCTACAAAAAAACACAAAAATTAGCTGAGTGTTGTGGTGCAACAGCTGAGTAGTAGTCCCAGCTACTCAGGAGGCTGAAGTGGGAGGATCGTTCAAGCTCAGGAAGCAGAGGCTGCAGTGAGCCAAGATCGTGCCATAGCACTCCAGCCTGGGCACAGAGCCAGACTCTGTCTCAGGAATAACAAAATGCATAAAATGTGACAGATTAGAAATGGCTTTTATCATCATTTCATTGACTTCTTTTGCCCTTTGCTAGAGTATGGAAAACATCTTGCCGCAATCAATTACAGCATATACAAATATGAGATACCCTACATTGTGATGACTTGTTAGTGATAGCACAATTTATTTTCAAAAAGTAACCATTTGAATGTATTTTGCCGTTGTCATTGTGCAGATGTTAATGAATGTGCCTTTTGGAATCATGGCTGTACTCTTGGGTGTAAAAACACCCCTGGATCCTATTACTGCACATGCCCTGTAGGATTTGTTCTGCTTCCTGATGGGAAACGATGTCATCGTAAGTCATAGCAACCAGTATTTATTGCATTATTTTTCTTCATTTTTAATATGTTTCTAAGGTGGCTATGATCTGGGTTGGTGATCTTTAATCAGAATTACCTTGGAGTTTTATTTTGTTTGGCTTTTTAAAACATGGACGACTGCCAGCCTGGGCACCATGGTGAGACCCCATCTCTGCTAAAAATATTTTTAAAAATTAGCCAGCCATGTTGGTCCATACTTGTGGTCCCAGCTACTCAGGAAGCTGAGGCAGAAGGATTGCTTGAACCTGGGAAGTGGAGGCAGTGAGCTGAGATAAAGCCATTGCACTTCAGCCTGGGTGATGGAGTGAGAGTCTGTCTCAAAAAACAAAACAAAAAAAACCCATGGATGACTGGACTCTACCCCAGACCTATCAATCAAAATCTCTAGGGTTGGGAAACAAATCATCTGTCATCTATCTATTATTGATATTTTCCTGTTTCTTTGTCTGTATTACCTTATATTTCATTGTCTATCTCTTTTAATTTTTAAAAATAACTATTGGGTACTATATTTCATTGTATATCGCTAAAGGATAGGCATGTACAAAACATAATCACGGTACTAAAATACTTAACTGTAATTTCTTACTATCATTTAATGTCTAGTGAATTTTCAGGTATAACCACAATACCATGATCATACATTAAAAAATTAAGGCTAGGCATGCTGGTTCACACCTGTAATCCCAAAACTTTGGGAGGTCAAGGCAGGAGGATCACCTGGCAATATTAGCAATACTGTATTAGCAACTGATTGCAATAATTTTTTACTAACCTGATTTAACACTAATCTTGAGCTTGTTCTTTATTAATTAGAACTTGTTTCCTGTCCAAGCAATGTGTCCGAATGCAGCCATGACTGTGTTCTGACATCAGAAGGTCCTTTATGTTTCTGTCCCGAAGGCTCAGTGCTTGAGAGAGATGGGAAAACGTGTAGCGGTGAGTTTATTTGCTTTATTTACCTTTATTTGAAAACATACATTTGCTCAGGGACATCTAAAAACTGATCTTATTGTCAAAGGAGAATCGTTTTTCCAATATTGAACACTGAAAGATATTGATACAACACATTAATATAGATCTAAATTGAGTTTTTTGTTTTTGTTTTTGTTTAGACAGCATAGCGTAGTGATTATGAGCAAGGGCTTTGAGGCCTGGCAGCCCCGAGGTAGCATTACTAGTTACTAGTTACTAGCAGTTTTGGTTTTGGTCTAGTTACTTGTCCTCTCTTGGTCTCTGTTCCTTCAACTCTGTAGATATTGATACTCGCCTCCTCGATTAAATGAGGCTTCAGATGCAGAGTGCTTAGTCTGTTCCTCGCACCTAATAAACACCTCTCTACTTTTATCTTCGTAGAGACTTACGTATATAGATAACTGGATGTAACTCAGAATTAGCAGAAGAATTGTGTGTGGCTTTTTGATTTTTAATAAAGAGAGCAAATAAAGTCGAGCAGCTAAAAATGTGAGAGAGAAAATATTACTCACTAGAAAGAGTTAGACCAGCTGCCAAACTCATCCAATGAATTATTTGTTCTAGCCAGCTGCCAGTGCACTTGTTCTTGGACTCACTGGTAGAATAAAAGGACAGGGTCATTGGAATGTGCAGATATCCACGACGTTGGGTTACAGGGAAGGAGGGTACTGCGACATTTCGATTTTAATTTCAGAAAAATAACCTTGATTGCAGCCATACGAATGATTGTGAAAATATTTTAAAAAATTAACATATGGGCCAGGCGCTGTTACTCACACCTGTAATCCTAGCACTTTGGGAGGCTGAGGCGAGTGAATCACCTGAGGTCAGGAGTTTGAGACCAGCCTGGCCAACATGGCAAAACCCTGTCTCTACTAAAAATACAAAAATTAGCCTGGCATAGTGGCGGACACCTGTAATTCCAGCTACTCAGGGAAGCTGAGGCAGAAGAATTGCTTGAACCCAGGAGGCAGAGGTTGCAGTGAGCCGAGATTGCATCATTGCATTCCAGCCTGGGTGAAAGAGCAAAACTCCATCTCAAAAGAAAAAAAAATCCATGTATGGTTGAATCACCCCATCCTTTGATGAAAATTGATTATATTTTGGATGACATAGCACCATTACCAAGCAATTGTTTTTGTAGGTTGTTTCTCACCTGACAATGGTGGATGTAGCCAGCTCTGCATTCCTCTAAGCCCAGTATCCTGGGAATGTGATTGCTTTCCTGGGTATGACCTACAGCTGGACAAAAAAAGCTGTGCAGCTTCAGGTTAGTGCTGTGGTTGTCTGGAACTGTGTCCTTGAAAAAAAATTCATGAAAACCTTTCATTTAGAAAGATGGCAAGTAAATTGCTTTTGGTTTCTGGCTAGAAAAAAGGCAAATACATTGTAAATATCAGTAATATGAGTAATAACAATATAACTAGTAATCATGCATTTAAAGAATATTTCTATTCTTAATTAGCATCCCAGAAAGGTTTGCCATATCAGATAGGAAAATCATGATAAGAATAGTCTTAAAACGCTTTATAGTTAAGAGATATTTAATAAGTATTTGTTGATTGATTTTTTATCTCTCCAGTGAATATAATCACACTTTGACAAACTCTGTCTTTTTTATATCAAAATTTAATATAAATTTGTATGCTTCAGCTCCTTTTTTTGTCTTCTGATATTACATCTCTTGCACCCTTCAACAGCCATGGAAATTCTAGATTTATACCAAATTGATTTAATATCTCCTGAAGGCTTATTATGTTTTTGATATATAATGCTCATAATGCTATAACATAATGATGATTCTGTATACCTTGCCCTAGTGAGACCCCAATACTGTTAACTTCTCAGGGCCTTCATTAATATAGCATAATCTAAATTCTTAAAATTATCAAGGGTCTTGCTATTAACCCAAATCATCATGCCTACCATTAAGAAGTGTCCAGGCCAGGGAAAGTTATTTATTCAGACATGAACGTATATAATCTACTACTATTAGTCTTTCAGTATGTATGAAACAAAAAGATATATGACCCTAAGACTTACATTACTTAGCTATGGTGTTGGTTATTTAATGCTGGCTCTTTCTATAAGTAATTCACTCTTTTTTTTTTTTTAAAGAAAAAAAGGTTTAATAGGCTTACATGGCTGGGGAGTCCTCACAATTATGGCAGAAGGTGAAAGGCACATCTTACATGGTTGCAGGCAAGGGAGAGAATGAGAACCATGCAAAAGGGGTTTCCCCTATAAAACCATCAGATCTCATGAGACTTATTCACTACCCCGAGAACAGTATAGGGAGTACTTCCCCCATGATTGAATTATCTCTTACCAGATCCCTCCCATAACACGTGGGATTTATAAGCAAACACCTGGAGAGGGAAGAAGCTAGAGATGAAATTCTGGCAATATGTCACCTGGAAGAGGACATCTTCTTGCCTGTCTTCACCTATACCATACTAGAGGGAAATTAAGAAAACAAGAACTGTAGAAATTGAGGCAAAAGTTACAATGAAAGGGAAGAGTCAGAGATGCCTCTTAGTTTCTAAGGCACATTTTAAATGCAGCCATATTTGAACTTTGGTTAACAGGACCACAACCATTTTTGCTGTTTGCCAATTCTCAAGATATTCGACAAATGCATTTTGATGGAACAGACTATGGAACTCTGCTCATCCAGCAGATGGGAATGGTTTATGCCCTAGATCATGACCCTGTGGAAAATAAGGTATGGTTTTGTTGCTTGAACAGATGTGGACATGTTGCTGCTCATAATGATTTCATTCTTTTTTATGAGCAGTATTCCATTGTATATATATATATATATGACACATTTTAAAAATCCACTCATCCATTGATGGACACTTAGACTGATTCCATGACTTTGCTATTATGAATAGTGCTCTGATAAACATACAAGTGCAGGTGTCTTTTTGATATAATACTTTCTTTTCCATTGGGTAGATACCCAGTAGTGGGATTGCTGGATTAAAAAGTGGTTCTGTTTTTAGCTCTTGAGAAATCTCCATGTTTTTCCCATAGAGGTTTACAACTTTACATTCCCACCTACAATGTATAAGAGTTGTTTTTTTCTCTGCATCCTTGCCAACATCTGTTGTTTTTTGACTTTTTAATAATAGCCATTCTGATGGGTGTAAGATGCTATCTCATTGTGGTTTTCATTTTCATTTCTCTGATGACTAGTGATATTAAGCATTTTTTTAAAATATTTATTGGCCACTTGTATGTCTTCTTTTGAAAAATGTCTGGTTGTGTCCTTTGCCCACTTTTTAATGTGGTTGTTTTATTCTTTGTGAGTTGTTTGAGTTCCTTATAGATTCTGGATGCTAGCCCTTTCTGAACTGCCTTGTTTGCAAATATTTTCTCTTATACTGTATGTTATCTGTTTACTCTGTTGATTATTTCTCTTGCTGTGCAGAAAGTTTTTAGTTTAATTGATTCACATTTGTCTATTTTTGTTTTTGTTGCATTTCCTTTTGAGGACTTAGTCATGAATTCTTTGCCTAGGCAAATGTCCAGAAGAGTTTCTCTTAGGTTTTCTTCTAGGATTTTTACAGTTTCATGTCTTACACTAAGTGTTTAATCCATCTTGAGTTAATTTTTTTATATGGTGACAGATAGGAGTCTAATTTCTTTCTACTGTTTATGGTGCTCCAATTTCCCCAGCACAATTTACTGAATAAGATATGCTTTCCCCAGCGTATTTTTTTGTGTGTGTGTGAACTTTGTCAAAGATCAGTTGGTTGTAGGTATATGGCTTTACATCTGGGTTCTCTATTCCATTCCATTGGTCTATGTGTCTGTTTCTATACTAGTACCATGCTGTTTGGGTTTCTATGGCCTTATGGTATAAAAGTCAGGTAGTATGGTGCCTCCAGTTTTATTCTTTTTGCTTAGGATTTTTTGTGCTCTTCAGGCTTATTTTTGGTTCCATATGAATTTTAGGGTTGTTTTTTCTAATTATGTGAAGAATGCTGTTGGTAATTTGATAAGAATTGCATTGCATCTGTATATTGCTTTGGGTCATTTTTAAACAGTCTTATGGAAATTCTTGTTCCTGTGTGATAGGCTGCATACTAGACTGAAAAAGAACTGAACTGGTAAGATATTCTATTGAACAAGATGGATGAATTAAAATGAAATTACAGTCATGTATCACTAATGACAGGTGTGTCAGTCAATTTCGTCATTGTGCAAACATCACAGAGTGCAATTACACAAACCTAGATGGTGTAAGCTATACTCACCTAGGCTATACGGGGTAGGTTATTGCTCCTAGGCTACAAACCTGTGTGGATATTACTACGCTGAATACTGTAGCAATGAAGTCACACAATAGTAAATATCTGTGTACCTAAACATATAAAATGTACAGTAAAAAAATATGGTATAAGTGATATTTTTAAATGATACACCTTTATAGGAGACTTACCATGAATGCAGCTTGCAGAACTGGAAGTTGCTCTGGATGAGTCAGTAAGTGAGTGGTGAATTAATGTGAAGGCTTAGGACATTACTGTACATTGCTATAGATAAACACTGAACATTTAGGCTACACTAAACTTATAAAAAAAATAAAGTAATTGCACCATGACATTGTGAATGCTACAACATCACTAGGTGACAGAAATTTTTTAGTTCTATTATCATCTTACAGAATCACCATAGTATATGCAGTTCAGTGTCAACCGAAATGTCATTACCTGGCATCTGATTGTATAGAAGATTAGAGACTAAAGAAACTTTAGCAAATACCTATTCTAACTTCCTCATTTTTACAGTTGAGAAAATTGAGGTTAAAGAATTTATCCAAAGCAATCAGGCAAATAAGTGACAAAACTGGGAACCAGTTTTGACCTGCAGCGACTGTCTCTTGACTTGCAGTGAAGTGGGATGCTATGGACTGAAGCCAGCTTGTAGCCCTCATTAATTGCAAATCATTGCTCCCTTTCAGAAGCCACTATAGTTCACACTTGATGTCTATGTCATTGACCAATGATCAAGGGTTAATAAATTACCAATAGCAATAGCAATATGTGCCAGATACATGGCTAAGGAGATAGCTATATCTCTGTCTGTCTGATGAACCTGGTATTATTATCCTCATTTTACCAGTGAGGAAACTACGATTCTGAGACATTGAGTAACTTGCTTAAGGTTACACATATCTGGGAAGCAGCCTAGTTGGAGTTTATTTGCAGGTCTGCCTATCTCTAAAGTCAAGCTCTTAACAGGTACGCTGTACAACCTAAAGACTAGCATCATTTGTATACATTCCACGTTAGTTCAAAAAAAATCAGAAATGTCTGTGTCCTCTTTTGTAGATATACTTTGCCCATACAGCCCTGAAGTGGATAGAGAGAGCTAACATGGATGGTTCCCAGCGAGAAAGGCTCATTGAGGAAACAGTAGATGTCCCAGAAGGTCTTGCTGTGGACTGGATTGGCCGTAGATTCTATTGGACAGACAGAGGGTATGTTTTCTGCTTCAGTTTTTAGCTATGTGGGATGGGAGTGATGGGATAGGTAATACTATTGGCTTCATCCTCCACTTTGAACAGAGAAAAATGTTGCTGGGCACTTGGCTGGGACTGGAGAAAAGAGGCCACCATTGCTGTCCACATTGCTTCCACTTCCTCCTTTCATCAAGATTGCATCTGTGTGCATGAGGATTTTGAAGTCTAAGAAAAGTAGCCTGAGTCAGGAACAGAAAACCAAACGCTGCATGTTCTCACTCATAAGTGGGAGTTGAACAATGAGAACACATGGACGTAGGGAGGGGATCTTCACACACCAGGGCCTGTCGGGGGTTGGGGGCAAGGGGAGGGATAGCATTAAGAGAAGTACCTAATGTAGATGACGGGTTGATGGGTGCAGCAAACCACCATGGCACATTTATACCTACATAACAAACCTGCACATTCTGTACATGTATCCCAGAACTTTAATAATAATAATAATAATAAGAAGAAGAAGAAGAAGAAGTAGCCTGTGTTTTGGCCATTCAGGCTGTTGTTATCAGGGAAACCCAAAACCTGTCTGAATATAATCAATAAGCATTCTCTGAGCATCTGCTATGGATATAAGTCTTTCTCCTAAGTCACATGGGAGCTATATAGGAGCCTAAGATGTGCTCCATCTTTTTAGCCAGCTCTTCATTTAGCTGGGGAGATAAGGTATATTTCCCCAGCAAAAATATTAATATAAATTCTTGGTCTAAATAGCAGTTCAAGAAATGTCATAAGTCCTCACATAAATAATTGCCAAATGACTGGTGTACATTCTCAGAGGGAGCCACCATGGAATGAACTTTGGCATGCAAGTGACAAATCTTGGACTAGAATGTTGCCTAGGGAGTTGACATGCCTGTTAAACAAGCATGAAGGAGGGAGGAGAACTGCAGCTGGAGTTGTGAGGAAAGCGCGTGAGATAAGAGGAATGCTCTGTTTCCCTGCAGTGGGAAATAACAGAACCAGAGTGCAGTTGTGAAACCCCACTCTCAGAGCTGCAGGAAGGGCTACTGTACTTGGTGTGTATGTGGTCTGCGTGAACCTCAGAACTAAATGGCAGGAAGCAGGAAGGAAGTGGCTGTATCCCTTATGTGTGCTAATGAGAGCCCACTTCCTCACAGAACTGCGAGAGAAGCTGCTAACCACAGGTCTTTCACAGAATAATATTAGAGCTGCAGCGTGCACTAGAATATATTCTGAGTAACTGAAAGCCAGAAAGTGAAACGGTGGCCATCCTTAACATCTTGTGCCAATGCAGCCAAGTAAAGGGGGGAATTAGGGTTTCACCTCTGTGAAATCAGCAATTCTAATGCAGAAGAAGTCCCAGGGAATGGGTTTCTATGCTTGGGGGTAGGTGGTTTTTTTAATTTTTTTGAGACAGAGTCTCACACTGTGGTCCAGGCTGGAGTGCAGTGGCGTGATCTCAGCTCTCTGCAACCTCTGCCTCCCTGGTTCAAGCGATTCTCCTGCCTTAGCCTCCTGAGGAGCTGGGATTACAGGCACCCACTACCACGCCCAGCTAATTTTTTATATTTTTAGTAGAGACCGGATTTCACCTTGTTAACCAGGATGGTCTCGATCTCCTGACCTTGTGATCCACCTGACTCGGCCTCCCAAAGTGCTAGGATTATAGGTGTGAGCTACTGTGCCCACCCAGGGGTAGGTGTTTTATGTCCCAGAATATCTCTTTTAATCAGGATATGAATAATTCCACACAGGTAAAACCTATATGGGAAGCAGGTTTTAAAAAATCAACCAGATGTATGATGTGGTTATCAGTTAATCAATAATATGGCCCTTTTACATCCAAGGTGAGCATATTTTCTTTCATTCATTCATTTGTTCATCTAATTACACCTTCATTTCTTTGTTATTTGAGGGTTTATTTACTGAATAACTGCAATGCACCAGACACTGTGCTTTATATCCATGACACTATGAAATCCCCAAAGTTAAGTTTTGTTATCTCCAATTTAAAGATTAAGAAAATTGATAATTGGAGAGGTAAAATAACTTTCCCAAGGTCAGGCAGTCAACAAGTACCATGGGGATCTGTAACTGATAATTGAAGAGGTAAAATAACTTTCCCAAGGTCAGGCAGTCAACAAGTACCACGTGGATCTGTAATTGGAACCCAAGGATGGCCATTTGCAAAGCGTGTGCTCTTAATAGTCACAGAGACGTACCACCACCCCAAACCAGCGTGGATTTAACATGTGATTGACTCAGAGTCATGTGACAAAGTAAAATCAACTTCAGTTGTAATAATTATAAAAATTATAATAATGACCTCCTCTGTGTTGAACCTAGTTAAAAGAATATTTTAAATGGCAGCTGTGTATAATAACAGAGCTGTACATGGTTGTTCTCGTAAGGGTAAACGATGATCAAGATGACAGATGTCAACCACTCTCAGGCCCTCTAAGGATGCCAAGTCTTCTCATATTTCCCCACATTCACAAGGCACCTCTAATTTTAACAGTGTTTGATTAGTAGCACCGTGGTACCGACTGCAGAGGCAATGCCTTTGGGAGATAGACAGGCACCACTGTTTCCTGGAGAATCAGACCCCAAATTCCCCAGTTCATTGTCTTCAGTAATAACAAGCCCTTCTTAAGTCCTCTTGGCTATAAAGGCAGCTGCTAAAAGAAAACCTTTAATTTGTCAGGAAATGAGAGGTTTATGGTTTGAAAACCTTGATATTACCTAGAAATTGGACTTAAATACCTGAAATTCCAATCTCATAATATTAGATCACATGGTAACTCTTAGCCAATCAAAAGAGCCAAACTGGGATGCTTGCAGTTCATTTTGGCATAGGAAAAGACAGATTCAAATTGACATCTAACTGTCGGAAGGAAGCAAATTGATAATTCCAATGGTAATGCTGTTATTTAGTATCAAGGAATACTGATTCCTAAGGTCAATTGCCCAGTAAAGAATCAAGAGGGTAAAAATATAAGCTATCTGTTTGCTCATTTTTTTTTGAGGTAACAAAAGCTAATATAAGGTAAAAAATCACTCTTCTAGGGTTTTTGATGGACACCTGTTACCCTAGAAGGGGGGTGAGTTTTTCTCTTGGAGGATCTCAGTGGTATTGGGACGATTAGATAATGGATTGACAGACAAGGACACACCACTAGATTAAAGGTGATGCTTGAACTCCCATGAACCCAAATGTCCCTGCTGGTCTTTGCTTTCTCATTTCCAACACTGGAGTTTGAGGTTTGCTCTCTAGCTGAATCAAATAGAAGTAAATTATTAGGTGAACGCCTTGGGAGAGCTTTAAAAGTAAATTCCAGCAATCCTGCCTTGAGACAGCTCCACAGTCAGGAGCGTACGTAGTTCTCAAGTCCCATCACCTAACTCCTGCCTGAAACAGAATTTAGAAATGATGTCTCTCATCTCTAAGATGATTAGAGGTCATCATGAGATCAGAACTGACAGTTTCATCTCCCCTGGTCACAAGCAAGTGGCCTCAGAATTTCTTCCCTCCCACCAAGGGAAGAGGCCCAGCGACAGTTGTGTCTGAGAACAGAACTTAACACATTAAGTTCAAAAATATCTTCCACCTGGCAGTATCCTTCCTATGACCACTTCATCCGGGAGAAAAATTATCTTTTTAAAGTGGCACTGGAGTAGAAATGGTTTCAAATTCTCCACTGCCTTTAGCTGGTAGTTTGCAAAGTGTTCCAGACCCAGCATGGGCACTGAGTGAGTTTTACCTTCACCTCTCTTCTGTGTACTGTCTGCGAGAGGCATATAGAGCCCTGTTCCCTTCACAGTGCCTGCAAAATAGAGTTGGTGAGCCAGCCACTGGAGAAGGTCTCCTTAGCATCCTGTAAAACCGAGAGCAGGGAGCGGTACTACTCTGTGTTTCTAGGCAGGCTTGTTTCATGCAGACATTGCCCTCAAGAGCAAGGTGAGGGACCTTTAACAGATGTTTATTGAATGAATTAAAGGTGGTTATATTTTCTAGTTTGAAGTAGGGAAACAGGGAAAGCAGGCAGTACATGGGGGAAGGGAGGCTCTTCTTAGCCCTATTCATATCCCCTCTGTCTGTGGTCCCATCTGCTCCAAGAAGCAGCTCAGCAGCCCTTGTTTGCTCCTGAAGGGGGCAGGGATGCTATAGAGTTGTGTTTAGCATTTGAATCCATCCAGTTTTATCTTATCACCATCATCTCCTGCCTGCCCTGCTCTTTTCACACTAAAGTCACAGCAAACTTTCTAAAATGCAAGTATGACTGCCCCACATTCTTTAGGTCCAGCACTTTAGAACTTCATACATGCACATTTCCTTGCTTACGGTACTCTTTCCATCCCCACTCACCTTTGCCTGGCTGCCTGCTTCTCATCCTCGTTTGTTATTATCTCCAGGAATCCTTCTCTGCTTGGCTGGGCTATCCACCCTGCCACCCTCCCAGAGTCTTCCAATTATATTCTTTACATGCTTCTTCTCAGCGTGGTCTTTCATGTGCTGTGTTATAATCCCCTCTCCCCCTTTCCCCCTTACCTTCCCCTACCTCCACCTCCTTCCCTTTCCCACCACCTTTTCTTCCCCTCCCCATCCGCCTAACCCTTTCTCTTCCCCACCCACCTCTGCCTCCCTCTCTGTCTGTTCCCGTTGAACTGTGAGCTCCATAAGGACAGAGACGGGGTTTTATTTACTATTGTATCTCCAATGCTTAGACCAATCCCTGGCACACAGTAGGTGCTCAATAAATATTTGACAAATAAATAGAAAAATCAGGAAATAAGAATTTTATACCCTGCCAGATTCCATTGGGTTCTTTTTTAATGTAAAGGTTAGCAAGAAATATTTCAGTACAATTGGCCTTCTTTATCTGCAGGCTCCACGTCTGAGGATTCAACCAACCTTGGATCAAAATTATTCAAAAATTAAGTTAAAAATAAGAATACATCCATAAAAATAATGCAAAAAAACCTAATAACTTATAACAGTTATTTACATGGAATTTACATTTTATTTGGTATTATAAGTAATCTAGAGATGATTTAAAGCATACAGAGGAATGTACATAGATTGTATCTGAATACTGTGCCATTTTATATTAGGGAATTTAGCATCTTCAGAGAGTTCTGGTACCAATCCTCTACAGATGCCAAGGGACAATTGTACACCCATTTGTCTTCGCATTAAATGAAAGAAAATTAAAGCCAATGTAAATCTCCATGTATTGTCCTTCTGCTGGCTTGTCTCCCCCCTCTTCATGATCCTACGAGGCTAACAGTCTCTTTGCTTCTGGCTTCCATTGGTTTCAGCAGGAGATTGGAGGTCATAAAGAGAATGTCCTCACCCAGCCACCCACACAATCCCCTTTTATCTTATCCTGTCATTGTGCATTTTCAATACCTGCAATAAATATTGGGATACTAATTAAAAGTATTTAAAAATATAATATTTGTGGGCTTATTGCAGCTCCTTTGTTTGTGGGTGGTGGGGAGGGAGAGAGAGACAGAGATTGGAGCTGGTTTAGAATGCCTATCTTTGCATTTCAGAAAGAGGAAAAAGGAGTATTTTTGTTTGAAAAGTAAATTTATTTTAACAAACTCCCTTATTGTGCACATACTTTAGGAAATCTCTGATCGGAAGAAGTGATTTAAATGGAAAACATCCCGAAATAATAATTAAGGAGAACATCTCTCAACCACGAGGAATTGCTGTTCATCCAATGGCCAAGTAGGTATTTGTAAAAATAAGGCACTGCTCTACAGAGGTCACGTGACAGTTCATGGTTGCTATGCTAGTGTGCAAAACCACAGACCAAGAAAATCCATGCAATTTGTTCAAATCTTCAGAAATGATATGGCTAGCATGAATTCCTGTCCTTTTAATGTCTCGATTTTCTACTCTTGTATAATAATGTTATTGTTTATAGGCTCTTTTAAGTAAATTCGATTTCTTTTTGAAAGAAAAATACGTTGTAATTCATTTACTGACTAGACTGAATCATCTATATTCTTTAAAAATCTGCACTTGTTTGCTGAACAGAAAAGGATATTTGGATTGTATGACATATGAGTTTTATTTAGAAAAATCATAACTTCAAATGAGAGGTCATTCCTAGATTTTAGATGACAGAAAATTGAAATTGTGAAAGGTTAGAAGACTATGCTGTTAGTTGTGAATTAGTGACAAATTTTTATTTAGAGATTAAAGGACAATAAAGGATTTCTTCTTAGTTGTTAAAAAAAAGATAAAAACCAACCCTATTTTATTTACGCTGGAAATTTCACAATGATTGATGGGTGATAATATATTGATAGTAGCTGATCATTGATTTGGAGCCAGCCAAATGATTAAAACTGTGAGAATGTAACCATTTCTAAACAGGCCAATGAAAAGATATGAACCATATCGACTTCAAAAAATATGTACCGAACACATGATTTATGAAAGTTAAAATTAACTGAGTTAATAGAGTACATTGCATAAAACTGGATAACAGATAATTATGATCTTTCCTTTATGTTATAGTTTTATAAATCCAGTGAATTTTACATACACATAACAGAAGAACAGGCTAGCAAGATTTCATTGCCTTTTTGCAGTACAAAATGCGAATTCAAGAATATTTTACTTAAAAACACTTTTAATTGGTCATATACTGCAATTTTTAAACTAATTTCTTTTTTATCTGATGATCTGAGCCTTAATTCAACATTTCTTTTCAAAGATGCTTTACACAGACAATTGTTCTGCTTTTGAAAATTATTTGTCCAACACACAGTGCTATCTCTTCTTCTGTATTCCTTAGTGTGCCACTTTAGCATATTATGAAGTAATTTACATTGATATTTTCAAAGATGAAAGAACAGAATAATGTCTTTTGTGCAGATATTATTTGTTGTGTGCTTTCTTGATTAAAGGAGATTATTCTGGACTGATACAGGGATTAATCCACGAATTGAAAGTTCTTCCCTCCAAGGCCTTGGCCGACTGGTTTTAGCCAGCTCTGATCTAATCTGGCCCAGTGGAATAACGATAGACTTCTTAACTGACAAGTTGTACTGGTGCGATGCCAAGCAGTCTGTGATTGAAATGGCCAATCTGGATGGTTCAAAACGCCGAAGACTTACCCAGAACGATGTAGGTGAGGCTTTGGGATGGGTGATATCTTCATCTTGACTGAGTGTTTATGAGTGTTAAATACAAAATATGTTTACACACACACACATCCACACACACACCCCCCACACTTAGCTATCTGGGTGAATATGGAATAGAGGCAGACTTCTCCAGGGAATCATGAGCTGCAAGGCTTACCTTAATGTTGGAATATCGGGTAAAAAATAGTGTTGTATAATCATTTCTCTTTCCAAGAAGTCCCAAAATCAGAATGAAAATATTAAAATTTTCTAAACTCCTTTAGGAATAAGAACTTGGTTCAGCTGTTTTCATTTCTTATGTTTTAGAAAATGTGGTTCACAACAGTGTTAATGTAGGCACTTTTAGACATGCATGAATATCAGTTGATAACGTGTGCAAAGCTTAATATAGTTTCCTCCCCTATTTTCAGATTTTACATGGGGTATATTTTCATAAATATCTTTAAAACATTGTAGCTTATGCCAGCTGTTAAAAGAACTATAAAATGGCTACGAGATTATATAAACAGTGGGAAATTGATTTCGCTCCAGGAAGGTACAAAGACAGTATTTGAACCGGGCCTTGTGGTAAATAGATGATAGCAAAAGATTATAAGGCTGCAAAATTGGTCTTTGCATGATAGTACTTCCAGGATGTGTTGACTAAACTTAATCCTGAATTTAGTGGAGGGACATTGAATGTTCTTGCACATAAAATGTGTGTGTTGAGATTGGTGTATTTGGAGAGCTGGTTAGGTAAAGTATAGGAGTTTGATTGGAATTTGGAGGGAAGGAGGACTATAGCGGTTGCCCAGGCAACAATTAGTAATGGCCTGAGATTGAACATTGTCATTTAAAAGTGGAATGAAGGATTATGATATTAAAAATTATTGTGGATAAAAATTAAGAGTATTTTGTAACATTGCATATAGGAAATGAGAGTCAGGGAAGTGTGGAAGTTGCTTTGGAGAGTTAGAAACTGATTGGGGAGATGAACAAAGTGGTCTGTTTCATTTAGGAAGAAGCTAACAAACGAATAACCTGTCTAACACATCTATTTTACTCATTTTCTTTGGCTAAAGATAAGTATAATTTAAAATTTTGGGGGCCAGGCATGGTGGCTCACGCCTGTAATCCCAGCACTTTGGGAGGCCAAGGCAGGCAGATCACGAGGTCAAGAGATTGAGACCATCCTGGCCAACATGGTGAAACCCTGTCTCTACTAAAAATACAAAAAAATTAGCTGGGTGTGGTGGCGCACACCTGTAGTCCCAGCTACTTGGGAGGCTGAGGCAGGAGAATTGCTTGAACCCAGGAGGAAGAGGTTGCAGTGAGCGGAGGTCGCACCACTGCACTCCCCAGCCTGGTGCCTGGTGACGGAGTGAGACTCCGTCTCAAAAAAAAAAAAAAAAAAAAAAAAAAAAAAATTGGGCTGAGACCATGGTGATTTAAAAAAAAAAAAAATTAAAATTTTATGTATGTCTAAGATTCTCTAAAAATTAAAGATATACTTCACAATAAATGATATGCTTATGTACAACCTTAGACTTTATCATCCATTTACTTCAGGGGTATTTTTTGAGATATTATAGGAACTGGAGATACACTGGAGACTAAAACAAATATGATTTCTGTAAAGCCAAGGAATCTAGTGCAGAATACATACATTATTTAAAAAATAAAAACAAAAAAAAACCATCATCCAGGCTGGGCATAGTGGCTCACACCTGTAATCCCAGCACTTTGGGAGGCCAAGGCAGAAGGATCACTAGAACCCAAAAGTTTGAGTCCAGCCTGGCCAACATGGCAAAACCCTGTCTCTACTAAAAATACAAACATTAGCTGGGCGTGGTGGCAAGCACCTGTAATCCCTCTGCTACCCAGGAGGCAGAGGTGAGAAAATCACTTGAGCCTGGGAGGTTGAGGCTGTAGTGATCCGTGATCACGCAGCTGCACTCCAGTCTGGGTGACAGAGTGAGACCCTGTCTCAAAAAAACAAAAAACAAAAAATACATCATCCAAATAAATATAAAATTGTAGCTTTGACATAAAAGGTAGAAAGGAATTTGAAAATTTCTGACCAGAATGTGAGGACACCATATTCTAAACCAAAAAGCATAGCAGATACTTTGTGAATCATTTATATTGCTACTATATGACTAATCCAATTGACTATTGAAGGCCATTATCAAATAATTTTATATTAAATTATGTAAGTAATATTCTCATCATTACAGTGCCATCTATTGGTATATATGTGGTAGCTTCCCAACTGACAGTTCAGGATTTCTAACAGTGGATGTTATGTGCTCTTAGCACAAAAATGATAACTGAAGTAATGCATTTGTTAGTTGGCTAGATTCAGCCATTCCACAATGTGTGTGTGTGTATATATATATATATATATATATATATATATATATATATATATAAAACATCATGTTGTACATGATAAAAACATGTATTATCTGTCTATTAAAAATGTATTTTAAGAGGTTTATGGTCTTCTTAATTTAAAATACAATTAGTTGTGGCTTTTCTGTAAACAAAAAATAGGAAAGATTACGTCTAGTGTGGGGTGTTTGTTGAAACACTATAGCTAATTCTAACATGTGCTTTAACATGGATGAATTCCTGAGGATACTGTGCCAAGTGAAATAAGCTAGTCACAAAAAGACACGTACTGTACAATTCCAATTATTTGAGGTATCTAGAGTAGCTAAATTCATAGGGAAAAAAAGTAGAATGGTGGTTTCCAGGGATGAGGGAGAGGAAATGAGAAGTGGTTTAATGGACATAGAGTTTCAGTTTTGCAAGATGAAAAAATTCTAGAGATTGGCTGTACAACAATGTGTGAATGTACTTAACACTACTGAACTTAGAAATGGCTGAGATGGTAAGTTTTCTGTTATGCTTTTTCACCGTGATAAAAAAGCACTATAGCTATTTTTAAAATTCCCTTGCTGTACTTAAGGCTTTAATTTGGGACCAAGGACTAGAGACTAAAATGAATCTTAATGACCTCGGTCAACAATGGTAAGCCAGAGACTCATTGTAACCAGGACAAGTTATTTGAGTTTGCCACCAGTAGGGGAAGACATTCATTCCAATCTGTCAAACGTTTACAAAAAGAGTGGCCTGTGGGAATGTGAGCAGCCTTGATTAAAACATCCAACTTGAGCTTCTTTAGCTTTAGTCTCTAACCACTTGAGAGAGAACGTTAAAACATTCCCTTATGTGTTCGATACTTGCATGCCTTCTCAGAGCAGTTTCAGTGGCACGGAGAGGTAGGACTGATGGAGGTAGCTCAGAAGGATGCCCTCTTACTGTCAGTAGGAGCCATGAAAATGGAGGCAGCAGATAATAAGTGAGTCTTTCAAAAACTTGGCTAAAAAGGGAAGGAAAGAGACCAAGAGGAGCTAGAGGGGTCACAGGGATAAGGAGATGAAGATGGGAGAGAGGATATTAGACAGAAGGAATGAAGCTAGTGGAATGAAGAGAGTGGAGATGTAAGAGAAAGAGGTGGTTGTTGAGGAATCTAGGCCCTAGAGAAGGCAGGAAGGGTGACCTCAGGGGCATAGGTCAATATTAAATAAGGAGAGAGGAAAGGAGGTGGGGCACTAATGCAGACAAATGTGTTGGTGGAGATGGGAACATAGAGAGACTCTTATACAATTACCTCAAATTTTGAAAAATCCTTATGACACCCTGTGAATTCGACCTACCGCTTATTACTGCTGCTCAAAAGAATGAGAACCTAAGGCAAAGAGTGGTAAGATAAGTTACTCAAGTTCAGTCTATAAGTAGTGACAGATGTACTAAACAAATAAAATTCCACCTTTGCCTCCTTCTTGGTGCTAGGAAGACAATCAGCCCACATTCTCCCACTCTGCAAATGTTGGGTGATAAAAGGCTTTGCTGGGACCCCATACCACTGGGATCCCATTCTAAAGCGAGGTTCCCTCCTCACGTGGGCTCTCCGTGAGGCAGGTATAAGTCAGTGGCTCGCTCATAATTTGCTGAGTAGCTAAAGAGTTGATTTAGTGAAGGAATGGTGTGTAAATTTCAAGCCTTGTCCTTTCCATAATCATTGCAAAGACAAAGAAGGTGTATTTAACAAATTTGAATTGTTTCCAGGTCACCCGTTTGCTGTAGCCGTGTTTCAGGATTATGTGTGGTTCTCAGACTGGGCTATGCCATCAGTAATAAGGGTAAACAAGAGGACTGGCAAAGATAGAGTACGTCTCCGAGGCAGCATGTTGAAGCCCTCATCACTGGTTGTGATTCATCCACTGGCAAAACCAGGTATACACTGGAGATATTACACCATCTTTCCTTGGCAGGAATCTGCAACTATTTTAATGGTTTGATGTCATGCAGTTGGGGTGGGGGTGGAGGGGATTTTGTAATTTTCACTAACTGCGTAGATGTTAAGATTTTCTAGGATTTAGGTTTAAGACAATATGGTAGTTTGGTCATTGGGGCTTTATCCCTTCAATTTCATCTCTTTTCTTGAACAACTTTTACTTACCTGCTACATTTCAAAGAGCCTTGGGTTAAAGGCACTAAGGGCAGGCAATTTAGACACGGACAGTGGACACTTGGACCTTCCCATACCCCTGAGGGTGCCAGTGAGTGGGTGTCAGCCAGGAGTGAGCCAATGAAAAAGGCATCTCGCATTTTATAGTAGCTCTTTTTTCTGAATTGCTCTTTGTCAGTTTGACTAGATGATGAATCAGGAAATACGAATCACATTTGACTAAAGAGCCTCTTGAACAAAAGTACTGGCTATACTCAGTACTCATAAGGTAATAACATTTTGGCTTTATCTTAGAATCAGTGGCTTCTTGGGGGAACTCTTCTGAAATAACTATTGATACACCCTTTGTTTAGATCCACTGCGTTTCTCTCCCTAAAAGCTGTAGCTTCCGAAAAGCAAGCTGTAGACTTGGATTCATAGCATCCTTTTCATCTCCAGACTCACCTGTGAATTTGCCTCTTCTCTACTAGGAGCAGATCCCTGCTTATATCAAAATGGAGGCTGTGAACATATTTGCAAAGAGAGGCTTGGAGCTGCTTGGTGTTGGTGTCGTGAAGGTTTTGTGAAAGCCCCAGATGGGAAAATGTGTCTGGCTCTAGATGGCCATCAGCTGTTGGCAGGTAATATGTTAAATTATGTATCAAATTATCTAACTTTGGTGCAGGAATACAGCTGTACATCCATCCCTGTGCTTTCACTGATTTTTAATATTTTGGATGTTAAAAGCTTTCCTGTTTTTAGGAATGCTAAGAATTTGTTTTTTTATTTGTTATCCTCTGTTGAGTTTTGAGTTCCTTATTACAGGCACAATTCAATTGACCTCTAGCCATAAAAGTCTTAAGTTCCAAGCCCTCCACCTCCCCATCTATAGTGGAGTAGGTCCCAGACTTGGAACTAAGTGTCAAAATTGTATCACCTCACAAAAATGTTTAGAGATATTTTGTTTAGAAGTTTTATGTCCTCAATTTTAGAGGTAGTAGTGTATGATCTCCCTATCACATGACAAGGCTTAATAGGAAAAGCAAAGTCCTGTATAAAAAATAACTTCAAGATATCAAATAAATGTGGGAAATCCAGCCTGAGAAGGCTTGTGATGTGCTTTTTTTACAAAGTAGATATGACTCTGAGGAAAAGGAAGAGTGAGCCAAGTGTGACATGTACCCAGTAGCACCGAGTTGCCTCCCATGAACGTGCAACCAAATAATCTGGGCATCTTTGGATTCATCCCTTGATATCTTTCTACCAGAAATATACTAAAGATAATTTACATTTTATTAATTTTTTTAAAGTTATATTTATCTGGTAAGCGTGGTATAAATATAAGTAAAGTGACAGATTGATGAAAAATAAATAAATCTAGCCACAGACCTGAATTGGATACTTTGGATTTTCAGAATTTTCTATTAATTGTTGCCTTAGTTCAACAGTTCTCAAACCTCTTGGTTTCAGGATCCCTTTACAAAAATTATTGAGAATCTCAAAGAGTTTTTATGTATATCTGTCAATATTTATGATCTGAAAATTTACAACACAATTGAGAAATCTATTGACATTACAACAATAAATGTACCTATTAATATATATTTTATAAAAGTAACCGAAATAAGTACATTTTCCAAATCAAAAAATATGTATCGAGAAGAGTGACACTGTTTTACATTGATAACTCTAATGTCTGTCTTACAGAGGGTAGCTGGATGCTCGTGTCTACATCTATGTTAAATCTGTCATGTGTCATCTTGGTTGAAGTCTATGAACACAGACATAGAGTTGGAAAAGGGCTATTACAATAGCCTTTTGAGGTGCCTTTTTTGGATATAGACGGTAGCTTCCTAAAGCTTAGTTGCAATGTGGAATCTGACATTGGCAACAGTTATTGCCAGCTGTGTTCCTTGCTTGAGGTGACAGGCTCACTTCATTCGTTTTTAAGGAAAAGTGGATGTTAGCTATGTACCCAAGTCTTAATAGCACAATTTTCCTTTTTTTAAGTAAAATAAGGGGCTATGAAAAAAGACGTCAGTTTCAGCTCACAATTCAAAAATTGCTTGTGTTTTTCCTCTAGATAACCATCATAACTTCAGTATGCACTGAAAGAATTTATATGTATTTCTTATTTTATTACCTAGAATGTTAAAAAGCTGTGTAGCTAATGGTTGAGAGTTTTAAAATTAATAATTCTTATTGATTCAAAACGATCTTCTTGTGAAACTGGATTTTATTTCTATTTTTTGAGACAGGTGTCCTTCTGTTGCCCAGGCTGGAGTACAGTGGCATGATCATGGCTTGCTGCAGCCTTGGACCCCCAGGCTCAAGTAGCTGGACCCCACCTTAGCCTCCTAGTAGCTGGGACCACAAGTGTACACAACCATGCCTGGCTAATTTATTTTTATTTTTTGTGGAGACAAGATCTTGCTATGTTGCCCAGGCTGGTCTTGAACGTCTAGACTCAAGTGGTCCTCCCACCTCAGCCTCCCAAAGTGCTGTGATTACAGGTGTCAGCTACCCTGCCCAGCCAAATTTTTTTCCATTTCCTTTATTATTTATTTTTATTTTTTTGAGACAGGGTCTTGCTCTGTTATCCAGGCTAGAGTGCAGTAGCATGATCTCAGCTCACTGCAACCCCTGCCTCTGGGGTTCAAGAGATTCCTCTGCCTCAGCCTCCTGAGTAGCCAGGATTACAGGTGTGCACCACCATGCCCAGCTAATTTTTGTATTTTTAGTAGAGATGGAGTTTCACCATGTTGGCCAGGCCAGTCTCAAACTCTTGGCCTCATGTGATCCACCCATCTTGGCCTCCCAAAGTGCTGGGATTACAGGCATGAACCACTGTACTCAGCCTTTTTTCTTCTTTTTAAAAATGAGTGTGTGGCGGTAAAGAGCTGAGCTGCTGGTAGAGTTTGCTGTCATTTCCTTTTTCCATACTAAGGCACCAGCTGTTACCCACATTCCTTTGGCCATAACAGTACAAATGTGAACATGGTGGAAAAAGGCAATTAACTTTATTGTATTATTAAGAAAAGACTTACAGGGACTTAAGCCTTTAGGGACTCTCTGAAGGATGATCCCAGGGTTCTGAGGATCACAATTTAGAAAACTGCTATCTTACAGAATCCATTTCTCCCCTATTCTGAGAGTGGGGAGTGCATGAATCTTACACCTGTATTAAATTATGACTTTTTTGTGTCCTTTCATATTATAAAATGTAGGTAAAATCAGACTAAAATAAGCGTGAAAGCAGCGTAAAGGAGAAAAAATGTGTATGGAAGACAAGCTGGGGCGATCACCTCTCTATTTTGTCCTTGATAACCGTGGGCTGTAATTATGAGCTGATTATTCCCTAAGGATTTTGGTATTTTACTCCTGTTTTTTGCCAGTACCTGAAAGAGTCCTATCTTTCTTCCCTATTGGTTCCTTACCCCCCAAATCATTAAGTGCTCAGTGAAAATGAGAGGAATGGGATAGCAGGGTGAGGTTTACTAAGTTACCAAGACGCTGACAGTTTGAATCCTCTTACTCTAAGGATGAGTCTGAACTCACAACAAATGAATAATCATAAATATAAATTAAATCAAACTTTTTTTTTAAACAGAAAAGCCAAATTTAATTGCATTTATTGACCGTCAATAGGTGGTGAAGCTGATCTAAAGAACCAAGTAACACCACTGGACACCTTATCTAAGACCAGAGTGTCAGAAGATAACATCACAGAGTCTCAACACATGCTAGTGGCTGAAATCTTGGTGTCAGGTATGAATAACCTGTTCTGTAATGTACCTTTGGCTCCAGCAGTTTCCATCCTACTGATGAGAAATTTTGAATTACCTTTCTAACTTAATATTGGCTAAGTTCTACACAAGGCTAATAAAGCCAAACCTTGGACTCAAGTCTGTCTCTTCTGAATGATGTGCCTGAGAAAGATGGCTGCATATTAGCCTGGACATGAACAGCACACCTTGAGAGTCTTTGGATGAGAGTCTTTGTTCTGTGAAGAAATACAACCTGGAAACAAAAGTAAAACATAGGACAATATATTTGAATGTATCTCCATCCATACCTGATATTTTTGGTATTTGGTCCGCCTGGCTGTTTTTCCATTAGCCTGAAAAGTTGATAGTAATTGATAAGCAAATATAGGTTGACTGCTTCAACTGCTGCAGAAGGTCCACAAATGGCAAATGTTGAAATTCTTTTCTTCTGTGTTGCACATTTGTCACCAAAATGCCAAATCTTGTGTTCAGTAAGTAACAACTTTAGAGAGCCTAAGTCTTTTATGTTCTATATTCACTCAGGAGGTCAGTGGTTTTCCAACTGGGTTCAGCTTAGCCCTAGAACTTATGCAAACCCCCCCTTTCACTGTAGGTCACTGCCCTTTAAGCAGTGTAACTTGACTTTGAAACATTTTGTTTCTTTGTGTTACTGAGTAACACTTTATTTTAATAAGATTTATGTGGAAAAAAAAAAAAAGGTTTCAAAACTCCACATTAGGACATTTAAGGAAATGCTTTATCCAACGTTTGTGGTCTGCAAACTACTTTTTTGATGTACAGGGCTCTGGGGACCTCTTACCTTATCAGTGTGATTTTTAAAATAAGATAAAAATAAGGAGGTTCACAATTTTAGTAATAACAATGACTAACATTTGCAGAGAATGTTAGATTATATATATAGTCATTCCTCTGTATCCACAGGGGATTGATTCCAGGATCTCCGAGTATATCAAAATCTGCGCATATATAAATCCCAAAGTCACCCCATGCAGCCCAGGTATACAAAACACCAGGCATCTGCATAGGCAGGTTTCACATCCCACCAATAATACTGATCTGTGTTCAGTTGAAAAAACTCCAGGTATAAGTGGACCGGTGCAGTTCAAACCCGTGTTGATCGAGCGTCAATTGTAATCTCTAATTTGCTCCTTATTACAAATCAGTTTGCAGATGTGAAAGCTGAGAGACTAAGATATATTAAGTTAGTGTCTTGATCAAAGGTTTTTGAAAATTATGACCAAATAATTAATTCATGTAAAAATAAGAAGTTCTGGAAAACTTTGTTAATGTTAGGAATATTATGTGTTCAGCAATTTATTTGGCATACGCTGTGCTAAGTGCTGGGGAAAGCAAGATGAGCTGAATACCACCCCAGTCCTCAAGGCCACAGTTTGTTGTGGACACAAACAACATGATAGAATAAAATACTTTAAACCAATGTTAAGGATATAGAGAACCTTGGCAAAGTCACCAGGAGTCCCTAGAGGTTCATAGAGCATATTTCGAATGACTGATGGTTGAGGGACTGAAAGACTAAGATAAATGACAGATGGGTGGGAATAGGGGAGCGATTAAGTGACCAAGGATTTGTGAATTTGTCTTAATACCTAGAGCCTGGTGTAGAATAGAGGGGACTGATTGTCCTGGTGAAAAACTCCTCATCTTTCTATACTCGGATTGTGTTCTGTGTTGTCCTAGCCTGTGAAGTCTTACTTCCACATAAGTCAGGCTCAGGGGTCTAATTTCTGTTTCAGAGTGAGATTTCACATCAACAAAGTATCTATGGCTAAAAGACAATGTGAAAACGCCACATTAGGATTTTAGAGTATCTAAAATTCTTAACGTGGCCTGCTGGGCTCTGTATGAACCAACCTTTAGATACCTCCCCAGTCTCAACAAGGGCTCATCAGCCCTTTTGCCCTTGACTTTCTGCGGCCTGCTTCCATCACCTGGCCTTGTTTCTAACAGACACGGACATGTGCCCTAGTTGTTTTCTCAGCCTATGCTGTGCTTCTTTTTCTTTTTTCTTTTCTTTTTTTAATTATGCTTTAAGTTCTGGGGCACATGTGCAGATCTTGCAGGATTGTTACATAGGTACACACATGCCATGCTGGTTTGCTGCCTCCATCTCCCTTTCACCTACATTAGGTATTTCTCCTGATGTTATTCCTCTCCAACCTCCCTACCCCCTGCTATCACTCCCCTAGTCCCCGAGCCCCCAACAGACCCCCGTGTGTGATGTTTCCCTCTCTGTGTCCATGTGTTCTCATTGTTTAACACCTACTTATGAATGAGAACATGGGGTGTTTGGTTTTCTGTTCTTGGGTCAGTTTGCTGAGAATGATGGTTTCGAGATTCATCCATGTCCCTGCAAAGGAGATGAACTCATCCTTTTTTTATGGCTGCATAGTATTCCATGGTGTACATGTGCCACATTTTCTTTATCCAGTCTATCCTTGATGGGCATTTGGGTTGGTTCCAAGTCTTTGCTATTGCAAACAGTGCTGCAATGAACATATGTGTGCATGTATCTTTATAACAGAATAATTTATAATCCTTTGGGTATATTCTCAGTAATGGGATTGCTGGGTCAAATGGTAGGATGATAAGCAACTTCAGCAAAGTCTCAGGATACAAAATCAATGTGCAAAAATCACAAGCATTCCAATACACCGATAACAGACAAACAGAGAGCCAAATCATGAGTGAACCCCCATTCACAATTGCTACAAAGAGAATAAAATACCTAGGAATACAACTAACAAAGGACGTGAAGGACCTCTTCAAGAAGAACTACAAACCACTGCTCAAGGAAGTAAGAGAGGACACAAACAGATGGAAAAACATTCCATGCTCATGGTTAGGAAGAATCAATATCATGAAAATGGCCATACTGCCCAAAGTAATTTATAGATTCAATGCTATCCCCATCAAGCTACCATTGACCCTCACAGAACTGGAAAAAACCACCTTAAATTTCATGTGGAACCAAAAAAGAGCCTGCATAGCCAAGACAATCCTAAGCAAAAAGAACGAAGCTGGAGGTATCACACTACCTGACTTCAAACTATACTACAAGGCTACAGTAATCAAAACAGCACAGTACTGGTACCAAAAAAATATATAGGCCAATGGAATAGAACAGCGGTCTCAGAAGTAACACCACACACCTACAACCATCTGATCTTTGACAAACCTGACAAAAACAAGCAAAGGGGAAAGGATTCCCTGTTTAATAAATGGTGTTGGGAAAAACTGGCTAACCATGTGCAGAAAGCTAAAACTGAACCCATTCCCTACACCTTATACAAAAATTAACTCCAAATGGATTAAAGATTTAAACATAAGAACTAATACCATAAAAACCCTAGAAGAAAACATAGGCAATACCATTCAGGACATAGGCATAGGCAAGTACTTCATGACTAAAACACCAAAAACAATGGCAGCAAAAGCCAAAATAGACAAATGGGATCTAATTAAACTTAAGAGCTTCTGCACAGCAAAAGAAACAATCATCAGTTTCCAGTGATGTGAACTGGAACCAGCCACCAACAGAATGGGAAATAATTTTTGCAAGCTACCCATCTGACAAAGGGTTAATATCCAGAATCTACAAAGAACTTAAACAAATTTACAAGAAAAAAACAAACATCCTCATCAAAAAGTGGGTGAAGGATATGAACAGTCACCTTTCAAAAGAAGACATTTATGTGGCCAACAAATATGGTATGTTTCTTAACCCTTCTAAGTCATGTGTGCCCTTCTGTCCTCAGCCTTTCCTAGTTCCCAACTGGGCTAGGTTGCCTATTACAGCTCTCTTAGAACCTCAGTTCTGCCCCTTGATCATACTCATCACACTTGTACTTCAATAACCAATTATGCAAAACAGCAGAGCCCTTGTCAATAGCAGAACCTATTCTTCACCACAATATTTTTGGCTCTCAGGAAGGCCCAATACATCATAGGTACTTTTGAATGAATTATATTAGTTTTACTAACAGGACCTGAAGTTTCTTCTAGTCTGATAAGGTTAATTCTTATTTAAATTATCACAATATCTTTCTTTTTCATCCTTATTTAAATGTGTATTAAAGAGTGTTTGATCAAATATTTGAACAAATATCTTGGTCAAGAGTTTTTCTTTATTTTTTTTTTTGGTCACCTTTTATTCTCATCCTTAGAACTATTATGAAAAATAGACCTGGCAGAAATTGTCACAACTATTTTAGAGAAGAGGAATGTGAGCACAAGCATTTGTTTCTTCCAGAGCTCCTTTGTAGCATGCATAAATATGTATATATAAAACTCTGGCTGTAGCCGTCCCTCCTACAACTGCATAACTATTGCTTTTCATTACACACAGCTGCCTTGGGTTTGCATGTTACTAAATAAATCCTGAATCATATTCTAATTTAAGATAATTCTGCAAGTGATTTAAAATGTCATGGGTAATCGCATACCGTCCACTTTACACTCTAAGCAGCTTTGTGATTTGGGAGCTAGTCTTCCAAATAAATGCTGAATTAAATGGATAATTGATTTGGTCTGAACTTATCCATCTCTAGGAGTCATGAGTGACAGGAGATGACCAAGCAACCATGAAAGGCAACTGCTCCCACAAGAGAAATCTTCTTGCTCAAGTAGCTAAGCAAATCAAATGCAATTACCCAATGTCTGCATTCACATGCCACCTGAATCCTACTTAGATCATTTAACTTTCTTTAATTTATCAGCAAGTTTGGAGGGCTTTAAAAAAAATGTCTCCTGTACTTAGATGAGCAAACTTACCAGTTAATAGACAGATGATAATTTATATCCTGTGGTATGTCAGATTCCCCCAACTGCAAAAAGGTAGGGTGGGGTGGCATTTGGAGAATGATTACATACATAAGTAAAGCAAAGAAAACAAAAACTTGCTCATGTTTATGGCTCAACATGTAACTCTGTCCCCTGGGGCACTTGCATTTCAATGGAGTGTGAAATGAAATGATGCATTTACTGCACTTAACTCATATGGCTCATGTCTTTGTAAAAGTGCCTTGAGGTGTGCAAGTTACTACATAAATCTTGATAATAAACACACATTGTGACATACACATTCTATTACATATGATATTAGTAAATTGGCAGTAAATCTTTTTTATGATTGAATTTCTTTGCCTTGTTTGTGCACAGATCTACTTGCTAAATATTAGTCTGTGTGTCTTTGAGGGATAAGAATAGATTGACTCCTTTTGTTGTCACAATGGTTGGGAAGTTTCAAAATAAGCAACAGACCTTTGAAATTTGAGTCTATTTACTTCTAGCAATTTTATAATTTACATTTGCAAATGCTTTTAAAAATTACAAATAAGTTCATATAGGGTTCCTTGAACACCAGATAGTTCTTTAAGACTAAAGTTCTTTGAGAGCACATTAACAGAAACATGGCGATGGGACTGTGCATCTTGTTTTATTTTTTAGACAGTGTCTCACTTCGTTACCCGGGCTGGAGTGCAGTGGCGCCATCTTGGCTCACTGCAGCCTCAACCTCCTGATCCTCTTACCACAGCCCCCCAACTAGCTGGGACTACAGGCGTGCACCACCATATTTTTATTAGAGATGGAGTTTCACCATGTTGCCCAGGCTGGTCTTGAACTCCTGGGATCAAGCAGTCCACCCTCTTTGGCCTCCCAAAGTGCTGGGATTACAAGCGTGAACCACTGCACCCAGCTGGCTATGGATCTTGTAAATGTAGATATGGTTTATAGGTCAACTAAGCATTTCTATTTGGAGACTAACCTGTCTCAGAACTTGGGAAAGGAAGTGGTGGACTGCTCTGTAGAACCTAGAATATTAAAGTCTATTTTCTTCTCTAAGGTCTGGAAATAACTGCATGGGATTCTTGTATTTGCAGATCAAGATGACTGTGCTCCTGTGGGATGCAGCATGCATGCTCAGTGTGTTTCAGAGGGAGAGGATGCCACGTGTCAGTGTTTGAAAGGGTTTGCTGGGGACGGAAAACTCTGTTCTGGTAAGAGCACAGGGCAAATACACATATTTGGACAATAGTGAACTAGAAACATTCTTTCTGCTCTTTCTGACTTAAAAGCTCCAGAAGGATGTAATCAGCAGGTTAAATAAGTTATTTGATGTTGTTAAAAAAAAAAAAAAAAAAAAAAAAATTGGATGACATGCATAGAAAATGAGACATATAAATATATGTATGCAAATATACACATACTACGTTGAGTTTCTGGTAAAATATTATGATTATGCAATATATGCTTTTGACATTAAGGGGAATAATTTATAATTAGCTTCAGAAGCATGAATTTGAGTTCAAGTATATGACTTCACCAATTTCAATGAAAACACAACTGTTTTTTCCCCTAGAAGCTTAGGTCATAAGTTTTAGTTAAATGAATAGATTAATAGGTTCCTATTTTACATTAATAGAATCAAAGTTATAATTTAATGATTGCTGGAAAGATCTCAGTTCTTATGGTCTGAAACCCTGGCAGCAAGTGATTTATTTACATATTTTCCTAATCAGATAGGTGGGAACTCTGTAAAGATCGATTCAGCAATAACGTGTGAACTTTATGTCCAAGATGCAAGATGTGCCTGATGTTGTAAACAGCACCTGTAAAGGACTGACTCAGCAATTGAATATAAGATTATGCTTATTTATATCAGGATTGCCTAAATATTACACTAGTTCCTAATTTTGCCCACAGATATAGATGAATGTGAGATGGGTGTCCCAGTGTGCCCCCCTGCCTCCTCCAAGTGCATCAACACCGAAGGTGGCTATGTCTGCCAATGCTCAGAAGGCTACCGAGGAGATGGCATTCACTGTCTTGGTAAGAGGATGCATGTGCTGAGGGAGTAGGGCAGAGTCAGGCCTCAGAAATCAGGAAACAGTGTGGGTGCAGTGAGCAGAGAGAAGACAGGATATAATTGGGGGGACACACATGTCACAATTTAAAGAGTTGTACAACCTGCTCAAACTGACATATTTCCATTCTTGGTGAACAGTCAAGTTTGTGCCCTCATGCTATTACTGCCCTAGTCAGCTTCAAGCCCCTTTGGAAGGTGCTTACTCCTCTGCCTTTCTAATTCTTTCCCTGGGGTTTGAGTGACACCAGTGTTTCATCAATACTTCACACCTAGAGCCATGATGGGGGAGTTGGACAGCATTCACTTGTCAGTGAATTTGGTAAGAGAAATGTAGTGAACTGCAGAGCTGATGACAGTTTGCTGGAAGTCACTGCTGTGTGCATAAAGAAAAAGAGGTATGGCCTGTGAAAGGGCTCCTCCCATGTTTCTTGGTATGTTCAATAGGTGGGAGAGTCAAGCTGCTGACATTGAGATACAAGTAAAGAATGATTCAAACCTCTTTCATAATCCCTGTCCTCTGGTAAGGTCTGGGTGCGGCATGTTGGATTGGGAGTTCGCGTCGTGGATGTCTCATACCTTTCCAGGTGTCGGTAGCATTACATCACGTACGAGTGAAAACCTGCCTGAAGCCATCTGAGGCATGGTGAAGTGATGATCTGAAGTTTTACAGCACTTTAAAACTTCCCTTTCAGTATTTCTTTCCTTCCTTCTGAAAATGTAAGAAACTGATAAGAAACTCAAATGATACTGCTTTCTCCCACTTGTCAAGGTTAAAGATGAAATATCAATCATAACTATCAATTTTTCGAATCTGGTTGATTTAAATCAGACCTTTATCAGATTAGTTTTGTGGAATCCGCAGACATCTGTAAAAACTCTTATAAGCACATATTTGGCTGTCAGTCAGGAAAATGTCACTGCTCTAATTAAGCAGGCCCATAGATAATTTAGACAAGCAGACTTCATATTTAATTTCCTTAAATATGAAGAAAAAGGAAGGTATCTCTTGGATGTTTAAACTTGTTAGACTCTGGTTTCTCACACTGTTATTGACTCATCTCCTTCCAGTATTGATCATGCAATGGGCCGTCCTTACCCCACCTGCGTGGTTGGCACGGAGTCCTCAGACTCCATGGAAGCAGTGGGCTTGCTCCTCTATTCTCTCTCCCTCTCTCTGTGTATGTAATTCGAAGATACAATACTTCGAACCATGTTTGGCACATGAAAAGTGCTATGTAAAAGTGTTATCCTTCTTATTAAAAGTAGTTGGGTATCTTGGTCAAGTATACACCTTTGTCTTTGCTTCTTGGAAAAGCTCTCTTTCTCTCAAGGTGATAGTTTATTGAAATTGTAACAGGACTTCCTAAAAGAGTCAGTTTGGGCCATCCAGGATAGCAATTCAGTGTGTTAAATATTTAATTGCCCCCTATTAGGGGCAAGGCCACAGTACTAGAAATGTGAGAAATATCAGGATGAAAAAGGTAGTCCTTGCTCATGAGGAAAATGTGAGCTAAAAGAAATAAAGCTGTGATCAGTGATGCAGAAGGGTACATATCACAAGAGAAGTAAAAACCACAATGAAAGTTCAGAACTGGGAGAAATATCTGTTTGAAGTATTGGGAAAGATTTCAGGGAGGAACTGTCATTTTGGAGGGAGTGTGGTGGATAAGTAATTTCATTTGCAGGAATGTGAAGGGATGGAGGCATTCCAGGCATGAACAGATCGCATGACTGGCATTATGGATAGAGAGTAGTTTAGGTGAGCACTAAGTTTAGGTTATATCAGAAACTGAGGGTGATAAGGTAGTGTATGCCATAACAAAATATCATAGACTGGATGGTTTAAGCCACAGAAATATGTCCTCTTATGGTTCTGGAGACTAGAAGTCCCACCCAGATCAAGGTGCTGGCTGATTTGGTTTTGGGTGAAGGATCTCTTCCTGGCTTGCGGATGGTCACCTGCTCACTAGTTCTCACATGCCCTTTCCTCTTTGTTGTGTAGAAAGATAGAGAGAGAGGGAAAGAGAGATAGAGAGAGAGAAAGAGAAAGCGGCGGGGGTGGGGGGGAACACTCTAGTTTCTTTTCCTCTTTTTTTTTTCTTCCTCTTCTTTTGAGGACACCAATCTTATTGGATTAGGACCCCACCCTTATGACCCCATTTAACCTTACTTTCCTCCTGATAGGCGCTTTCTTCAAATACAGTCAGTCACTTTGGGAGTTAGGGCTCAATATATGAATTAGAGGGGCAGGGACACATTTCAGCCTGTAACAGATGGCTTGGGTTACATCTGTGGAAGACTAAAATCTGAGGGTCAGTCATTGAGCTTTGACTTCTCCAGTGTAACTGGCTGAGGGTCAGCCAGTGCTGTCCTAAAATTTCTAGTGACCAAATTACAAAATGTGAAATGAAACAGACAAAATGAAATTTAGTAATAATATTACTATTCAAATTTAATATTCAGATATATCCAAAATATTAACATTTTAATATGTAATCCATATAAAAATTATTGAGATATTTAATATTCTTTTTTATTTTGGTACTAAGTCTTCAAACTATAATGTGTGTTTTATACTCACAGCACATCTCAGTATGAACTAGATGCATTTCGGGTTCTCAGTACGCTCATATGGTGATGGCTAGCAAGTTGGACAGCAAAGTTCTAGGCAACAGGGAACCACTGGCAGCATTTGGGTAAAGTGGTGCAATGATGGGTTTATCATTGTTGTGTTGAAAGGGGAATAATCTGGCACTGGTGTTTAGGCGTCGCGTGGATGAAACATGGGGTCCAGGAATACGGTAAGGCTGTTCTTACAGTAATGGAAAATTGAGAGGAAGAAAGGCCGTCAATGTTAGGGTGGCAGTAGCTGAGAAAGAAAAATGGTGGGTAGTTAGGAAAGAAAGGGTGATTTGTCTTATATAGTTAATACTTACATAAAAATGCAAAACTGTTATATTTTATATGCTATGTATGTCAATGACAGGATGTCTATTCAAAAAAGTTAAGTGTGAATCTTTAGGATCTGAACTTCTAAATGTTTGCCTAGAGATCGTTTACTAATCTCTAACTTTGAGAAGTCACCTTTCTTTCCAACCAGGAAGAAAGCTTCCAGCTGCTGTCAGGAGCTTAGAACACCTGCCTGGGGCTGGGTGTGGTGGCTCATGCCTGTAATCACAACACTCTGGGAGGCCAAGGCGGGAGGATCACTTGAGGCCAGGAGTTTGAGGCCAGCCTGGGCAACATAGTGAGACCCTATCTCTACAAAAAAAAACAAAAACAAAACCAAAAAAACTAAAAAATAGCCAAACAAGAAATAACCAGGCATGATGGTACAAGCCTTTGGTCCAAGCTACTTGGTATGTTGAGCTGGGAGGATTGCTTGACCCTGGGAGGTCAAGACTACAATGAACCACAATCACACCACTGTACCTCATCCTCGGCAACCGGCAACCAAGTGAGATTCTGTCTTAAAAAAGAAAGAAAGAAAAAGAGAGAAAAAAAGAAAAAGAACACCTCCCTGAACATGCATTACAGGACCCAGTTGATCTCTCCAACATTAATGAAAGTCCTTTTAAAGCTAAAAATGCATAGGGCCCTGAGAACATATAGCATGACAGACGCTGATGAAGCTCCTCTTCCAGAGGCTGTCCAACTGTAAAACCCTCTTTTTCCGTACCCCACTTTTTTCTCTCCCCTACTCTGTCTTTTCTGACAGATATTGATGAATGCCAACTGGGGGTGCACGGCTGTGGAGAGAATGCCAACTGCACAAATACAGAGGGAGGCTACGCCTGCACGTGTGCCGGACGCCTGTCTGAACCAGGACTGATTTGCCCTGGTAGGTGGGTGGGTGGTCTAGAGTGAAGGGGAAGGACTTGGTTCAGGGAAATTCTATACCCTAATCTCTATTTGCGTTAGAGATTCTAAAAATCATTCAGTTCAGTCAGGCTGCAGAGTTGGCTTTCCTGATTATGATGATGCTTGAGAATTTGAAATGGTCCAAGTTTTCTTAATTTAATAGCATCTGGAATGAATCCTTTTTTATTACTCACAATCCAATAAAGATGGGAACACGGGTGTCTCTCTTTAACTGTGCAACTAATCTCCCTATTTGTAATGTCGATTTGTGGGGCTGCTGGATAAATTTTGCAGGGCTAGGCAGGTCGGTGAGAATGTCTGGAGTCAGCATTTTAAATCACTTTCAAGGATTTTAAAATATTACTTGAAAAAGGCAGTATTTCTTGATCTGCATTAGAACTCCAGCTCTCTTCCCTTTCTTTTTTCAACATTAATAATGGTCGACTCCTGCTTCCTGAACCTTCTCCCAATAACAGCAGCAGCATCTCACCATCAGCACCCCAGAAAGGGAGCTAGCTTCACTGAGACCCTGGAGACCAGGACGGAACTCTTTCCCATTACTGCCCACTCTTTAGCTGTCAGCCCTACACGTGGAAAACATCCTAAGAAGGAAAAATTCCGTGTTTACTTGGTGTCTGTTTTTTTTTTCTTAGCATGTTATTTTTCTCAAATAATTTGCTCTTCTTAAAGGTATTAAAAAACGGCTTATATTTATATAGTCAGCTACATATCTTTTCCTTTTAAGGAGCAGTGAACCATTCAATAAGAGAGACTTTACTATTCCACTTTGGCATTCCCTCTGTTATAGGAATGTTTTCTTCCTGTCATAATTGCTACAGTCTTGTCCTTGAGGGCTACTCTGAAACTTAGTTTTAAGGAGAAAGAAATTTTTGAGACTCCAGGATATTGGAGGTAATGGACTGCACATTGATGCGTAGGTTTTAAATGATAAAGAGTTACCAGTTGTTCAGTGAGACCTTGATGCTGCCACTTCACATGATTAGTGTGTTTTTGTGTATGACAGATTTGTTTGTATGAGATCAGTGACTTTGAATTCATATGGTAACTTAGGACTGGTCGTTCTTTTACCTGCCTCCAATATGCTATCCTTCATGCTCAGATAATACTAAGGTCCACTAGGAAAGTAAAACTGTTGTCCCTTCTGGTAGTTCTTCTGTCACTAAAAAATACTGTATCACAAATTGTTCACAGAAACTGGTTCCTGATATTGATACTTGAAAAACATGAGTCCCTTCAGAAAGTAAAAGTAACGTCTTGGGTTCTTTTAGACTCTACTTCACCCTCTCACCTCAGGGAAGATGACCACCGCTATTCCGTAAGAAATAGTGACTCTGGATGTCCCCCGTCCCACAGTGGGTACTGCCTTCATGATGGTGTGTGCATGTATATTGAAACAGTGGACAAGTATGCATGCAAGTAAGTCAAACTGTCTTGCTGATGGCGCAGAGAGATGCTTTTCAGTCCATCACTTTTAGCTAATTTGGAAAATGAATACTGAGGATGTTTTTCTGCAATTAGATGTTCTTTTGGAAAAATATAAACAAACATGTGTGAACCGTGTGTGTGTACTTCATCGCCCCCTCCTTGTGTGTCACGATGCCCCTCTCAGTTACCAGGGATAAATATAAATCTAAGGAGTTGGTGATTTCCCCTTTTACTGAAATAATTTGATGTGACCACTGGTATAGTCTAGGGATTAAATGTCTCATCCTGGTTGAAAAACTTAGGTTTGTGAGATAACTCCTTAAAACTTTGATTTATTTTTCATCAAATATGCTTTACATTATATGTGAGCATCAGTGATCCGTTTCTGGGTTTACAAAAGTGTTGTATGTGTTCACACTGGACTTCTTGCCAGAGTCCAAAAATATTTTTCTTCAAAAATAAATGTATGTCTATTATTTCTTCACTTCCTAACAGTTGACTTTTACAGTTTGTTGGTTAATAACAATTGCTGATACTGCAGCTGCTGCTTTTTGCTCCCTTTTTGCTCCCATGAGGGTTTCACAGTGGGTGAAGTGTCAACCTGGAAAGTTGATTTGAGGAAGTCCTAAAAGTATGAGGCATTCCCCTGTGCTCCCTCTGAAAACCTTTCCCGTGGACCCTTTAACAAAACCCAAACCTGCAATAGCCAGGTCTGCCTCAAATGCTACTTTTAATTCATTTCATGTTTTCAAGGCAATAGGAGGAAACTGATAGATACCAGAAAACAAATAGGTCTCCCAGGGTTAGGCTCCTGATCCATTGATAATTTTCTCTGTGCCTGAGGGAGGGGTGATAAAATAGTCTGATCCTCACAAATCGCTACTATAACCTTAAAGTCTTCTCTCATTTCATCAGTAATAATGAGCAGAATAACTAAATTCATGGAAGAGTAAGCTATATTCTGTGACAAAGTGTATGGCCTTGCATCAGAAATCATGTCAGCATGACAAACATAGTGAAAAATGCTCACGAATACTAGTAAAAATGACTCAGTCCTTATAGAATTCTGTTTTTATATTCATATTTACATGCTGTGATTTCCTAAAGTACAATAAATTGGGTATCTGCAATAGTTATTGCTAGTTTTAATATTTACAATCGAATTGGTTTTGCCCGTTCATTGTTTCTGGTCATCCCAAATGATGAAATTACAAAAACAAATGTCCAAATTTATTAGGTCATGGTTGTTTTCCTCCGTGATACTTTAGATTATAAAAATCATTATAATAATATAAAGGGCACTACAGGGTTACATGTTGCATTTAGAACAATGTTTTCATTTGGATCTGATAGCATCCATTTATTAAATGATTGATGAACTCTATAGCACACTGCTTTTCTTTCTGTCATTAAATCTTGATGAAAATATCATATTCCCCTCTTAATGTTTTAAACATGACTTGCTACAAATGACAAGCTGGAGATAAAACTCAAATTTAAGGACCTTGAATTTAAAGCAATATTAAAAATATTATCAGAGTTTACAGTACTCTGGATCATAACCTTGTTTTAAAATTGTGCATTTAACAAAAATGTGGTTTAATCAACTATTCAACCCTTACCTCCTCCTGTCCTGATGACCTCACCTTGTGTTTTATTAATTCCATAATAACAAGCCTCTAGGAAGCGCTTTACCAGTCCAACTTTTATTAGAAACACTTCCTAGGCAGGCGTCATTCTGTACAGAGTGTTTTTCATGCTGCAAGCAGGTTTTGGAAGACCGAGCTCTTCCTTCTTTACTTAGAGGCAGTGGAAGTTCCCCTCAGCCACATGAAACCCCAGGGTGCCCACAGTGATGCAGAGGAAGTGAGAGTTGGAAGTCTCCATGCCTGAGGTATTCCTTGAACATTTCCTGGTTTGGAGATGCTCAGGAGGCTCCAAACCTTCTGAGCTTGGAGGAGGTCCTCATTCATTCTGTGTTTCAGCCAAACACCCTTCTGGACAGGTCTTTAGATCAAGATCCCCCAACATCAGTATTGTGAAATGCTTCTTAAAAACAGGTTATGTGGGCAAATCACATGGAGAGATGCATCATACTCTAGCCCTCAATATTATTATTATTGATTGCAAGAGATGGTAGTTTTATTATTACTCAAATTAGTCTTCCTGAGCATTTGGGAGCAGAGTTTTTAAGCACAACTTGGTGGGTTGGGGAAGCCAGTAAGCGAGGAGTGCTCACAGGTCAGGGATGAAATCATAGAGAGCTGAAGCTGTCTTCTTGCACTGAGTCAGTTCCTGGGTGGGGGCCACAAGTTCAGATGAGCCAGTTAATTGATCTGGGTGAGGCCAGCTGATCCATCAAGCGCAGGGTCTGCAGAATATCTCAAGCACTGATCTTAGGAGCAGTTTAGGGAGGGTCAGAATCTTGTAGCCTCCAGCTGCGTGACTCCTAAACCATAATTTCTAATTTTCTGTCTAGCCCTCAATTCTTGATTCATAGTATACCACAACGCATTTAAAAAAATCATGTTTACCAGCCTGGGTAACATGGTGAGAATGCATCTCTACAAAATAATTTTTTTTAAGTTAGCCAGGTATCGTAGCACACATCTGCATTCCCAGCTACTTGGGAGGCTGAGGTGGGAGAACTGCTTCAGCCCAGGAGGCTGAGGTTGCTATGGGTTGTGATGGCCCCACTGCACTCCAGCCTGAGCCCTGTCTCAAAAACAAACAAAGAAGAAGGCTTGTTTATCTGTATTGAGTCCAAAATGTCTCAAAATTATTTGACTATGGAAAGGCAAACTTATTTGGCCAGAGAATCTTTTGTTTGGTTTAATGGAAGAACGAATTCATAACCAAAGAACTAGTATCATGTGTCCCCCTCCCCCAGTGGAAAATGCCGAATGACTATTCTGGGCCTTATCGGACTCAGTGAGGCTCTGCTACTGCAGCTGACTTGGGTCTCCAGGACTCTGGGCCAAGTACTGACATATTTCTCAAGACCCGAAACTTCCTGAGAGGATCAGAGGTGTGGCCCATTAACATCCAACAGTTTAAAAATTGTGCTACTAGGCATTGATGGTAAATGGCTCTAACCAAAGATAGCTAGAATTAAAACAGCATCCAAGAAAGCCTGGGATACTCGTGGTCTTTTATGCTTCTGTACTCAGATCCTGCTAGCTCTTGCATGGTTAGTTCTAGAAAATAGCTTTTCAGAGCTGAATAGAGCATCAGACTTTTTTTGTAAGCAGCATGGTATAGTAGAAAGTACATAGGCTTTGAAATCAGAGAACCATTGGAGTCAAACCTGTCACTCATAGCTGTGTGACCTTGTACAAACGCCTTGAGCCTCAGTTTCCTCATCTGTGGTATGGGAATATGCCACCAATAAGAAAATGAGTAAAAGTGCCTAGCAGGGCGTCAAACACACAAGATGGTTAAGAAGCACTAATCCCTTTCCCTCCTTCTGTCAGTGGCTTGCCCAGTCCTCTGACCAGCTCAAGGTAGAGCCAGGTCTAGAGCCCAGATCTTCTGGAGCTTTGTCCAGTGTGTTTTCCATGCTGCCTCTTCTCACTATGGGCACTGGGGTCAGATCTCTGTATTTTTATTCCTTTACGTCCTTTTGGAATTAAGTGGGTACATAGATGAATAAATAGTTTATCCAGGGCCTGGGGAAGGAATTTTTAATAAGTGGGCATTACAGAGTGTTTAATGGGATGTTTTTCAAAGTTGGTGCTTTTGCAAGGATAGTAGAATACAGATGTTTACCTGAGATCCTAATCGTTTCCAGAAATGCATATTCCCAGTAGATGGCAGCATTGCTTCATTTACTAAAAAGGACAGCAGCTCATTCTAGTGACAATTTCACTGAGGCAGTAGGGTGTTTGTGGGTGAATGTCCCTTTTTCCTCCATAGAGCTGTTTCCCCCATTGAAGAAAATAGACAAATGCCTATGTGTATGTTACTGGGTCTTCCCTTGCGCTATTAGTGATTCTTTTTAAAAGGAAAAAAGCTTTCTCTGCAGACTAGGTTATGCATTCTGTTCAGAAACTACACACATTCTTCTTTTATAGCCTGCTTTCAAGTGAGGAACTCTGCCTTCAAATTCTCCTTCCTTTTCACCTATGCTCATTGCAATCTGGCCAAACATTTGTTTCCAAAACTCCCTTGGCTCTTAGGGCAGAGTTGCTTTGTGTTGGTTTTAAAAGGTGGTTCCTCAGGATTTTAGCCTAACAGAAACTGATCTTTAATCAATGTCCTGTAATGCCTTATAGAGGCAGTATGCAAATAATCCCACATAAATCCCAGGGCAAACAGACAGAAGGGAGAAGTCCATGCTGCATTAACTTGTAAATTATAGTGCTTTCAACTGACCCCGGATGGATTTTCTATATGCTTCCAAAGAGCTGAGTCTAGAAATGCAGAGGTTGAGAGATAGTTGAATATTGAGTGTCAAAACTATCAGCGTCTTTGGCCAGGCGTCTCTGATGACCTCTGTTTGTGTGTTGTCACAGCTGTGTTGTTGGCTACCTCGGGGAGCGATGTCAGTACCAAGACCTGAAGTGGTGGGAACTGCGACACGCTGGCCACGGGCAGCAGCGGAAGGTCACCGTGGTGGCTGTCTGTGTGGTGGTGCTTGTCGTGCTGCTTCTCCTGAGCCTGTGGGGGGCCCACTACTACAGGTGACCCTGTCTTTCCTTTGGTACTGGAAACCTCTTTCTAAAACCTCCCAGGGGAATGCCTGCCTCCTTAAGATGAATGTCTACATATGAAATTTAAAGTGTTAAAGAGGCGGGGCATGGTGCTCATACCCATAGTCCCAGCACTTTTGGGAGGCCGAGGTGGGCGGATCACTTGAGGCCAGGAGTTTGAGACCAGCCGGCCAACATGGTGAAACCCTGTCTCCACTAAAAGGGCAAAAAGTAATGGGCGTGGTAATGCACACCTGTAATCTCAGCTACTTGGGAGGCTGAGGGACGAGAATCGCTTGAACCCAGGAGGAAGAGGTTGCAGTGAGCCAAGATTGTGCCACTGCACTCCAGCCTGGGCGATAGGACGAGACTCTGTCTCAAAAAAACACAAAAAAAGTGAAGTAAGAGTAAAATTTTTACTGTTAGCTCAGGAATTCATTGCTTTGAAACATGAGTGTTTTACTTTTTCCTTGTTCCCTTGCAGTGGTTGTCCACACACCTGCATAGTGTATGTGTCGCTATTTATCATGATGTGTTTTTGCATTCTACTTTCTTCATTTAATATTATATGCTCCTCCCATAGCCTGCATAATTTTTCATGGCTACCTGCCATTTCCCACAAAATATTAATGTTGTAAAAGAAAATTAATATCTTCCCTAACTTGGAAGGAAATTCTGGTTGTCAGATTTTGTGCTTTTAATAATTTCAAGTTAACAATTAAAAACTATGGAACAATAACATTTATACATATAATTCTTTAAAAATAACACTACATTAGGGTGAAGGTATAGGCATTACACTGTTTGCTCATTTTCTGTTTTCTTAGAAAGTAGGACAGCATCCTCTATTATCGTCAATATCGAAAAGCATTTTATATACTGTTATAGTTTCTGCTGTACAAAATCAGTGAATCATTAAACTTTAGTGCTGAAGGGGACTTTATGGAATTATCCAGTTTAATCTTATCATTTCATGGCTGGAGGACCTAAGACTCACTTGGCTAATAGGTCCCAATTCTCTGGGAATGTACAAAATATCTGCCACCATCTGTAGATAAAAATTTAACCACATTTACTGGTACTACACAACCACTCAAGTGGCAACTGTCTTGTGTTCTGGAAAATTCAACATATCAGCCAAGATGCACTTATCTGAGATCCTGCTGCATCCTACTATAGTGGTTAAGAGCATAGGCTCTGGAATCAGGTTATACAGGTTCAATCCCAAGTTAGTGTCTAAATAACATCAGGCATATGTCCCAACCTCTGTTCATTAATTTCCTTTGCTATAAAGTAGAAACAAGAATAGTACTTACCTCAAGGATTATTGTGAGATTAATTGGGTTAACCTAAGTAAAGGCTTTTATGTAGGTCTGGCATATAGAAATGAATAAATGCCATCTGTTGTTATTTTGATTTTCTATGAACTGTAATATTCCCTCAAAACAGCTGTATGCTCTAAGCCCTTGTCTACCACTTCTTGAGAGACAAGATTCTTAGGCACAAACTTGACATTTTAATTCAGTAGTCCATTGATAACATTGCACTTTTTAGCCTGGTGTTTAATCAATATCTTGGATATGTATAGAAAGAATAGTGAATGATCAATGCTTCATCCCTTGGACCATTGCCAAAAGACAGGAAAAAAATGGAAATGAGAAACTTAAGTTCATGCATGCCATAATTATTATTTTTTCCTATTTGTTGTGACGTGACATAGCGTGTCCAGATCTGGAATGAAAGCTAATGGCAGATTGCTGGCTTTTTAAACTTGGAATTCAAAGACCAGTTCAGCTGAAAGCTGACTGTAGACCTCACATACATATAACAGTATATATCTTCAGCCTCAGATTCTTATACCTAAAATCAGAAATGAAAGGACTATTCCTCCAAAAAGAACGTGCATCAGAACCCTTTCTTTTTCTTTTCACTGAAATGCATCCAGAGTTGTAAATTTTTTTTCTGAGCGAATCTGTGGTTATTTACCTAACAGTTCTTATCAGTATAGCTGCTTACCTCTCCGCAAACTTTCAGCTATGTGCATAACTACCTTTGTACTATAGATCCATTCTGACAAGGTCCAATTAAAACTACTAGACTAAATGTTGCCATGTCACACTCAACTGTACCAACAAACGTAGCTCTAGCATTGAGTTTTTAAGTTAGATGTGCTAAATATTTTTCTTTAAAGGTTAAAATCAGTTATTTCCTCCCTTATACCATTCCTTGCCTGTCTTACCTAGCTTGTTTGATACTGTTTGTCTTCTGTGTCTCTCAAAAGATTGTGAGCTGGACATGGTGGCTCATGCCTGTAATCTCAGCACTTTGGGAGGCTGAGGCGGGCAGATCGCTTGAGCCCAGGAGTTTGAACCAAACTGGGCACTATGGCAAAACCCTGCCTCTACTAAAAATACAAAAAATTACCCAGGAATGGTGGTATACAGCTGTAGCACCACCTACTCAGAGGCTAAGGTGGGAGGATCACTTGAGCCAGGGAGGCAGTGATGGCAATGAGCCACGATTGCACTATTGCACTGCAGTGTGGGCGACAGAGTGAGACTCTGTCTCAAAAACAAAACAAGACAAAACAGAAAAGACTGTGAAACTAAATACATTTTTCAAATATTGTAATATTATTAGTTTACAAAATGTGATTTTTTGGAAGGACTCCTTGCAAGAAAATCAACAGGAGGTATTTCATCACAAACTAAAACTTTGTTTTTTGTGGGGTTTTTAACTTTTATTTTAGGTTCAGGGGTATATGTGAAGGTTTGTTACGCTGGTAAACTTGCACAACCAGGGTCTGTTGTACAGATTACTTCATCACCCAGATATTAAGCCCAGTACCCAATAATTATCTTTTCTGTTCCTGTTCCTCCTCCCACCTCCACCCTCAGGTAGACCCCAGTGTATGTTGTTCCCTTCTTTGTGTTCCGGAGTTCCAATCATTTAGCTCCCACTTAGAATATATGATATTTGGTTTTCTGTTTCTGTGTTAGTTTGCTGAGGATAATAGCCTCCAGCTCCATCCATGTTCCCAGAAAAGACATGATCTCATTTCTTTTTATGGCTGCATAGTATTCCATGGTGTATATGTGCCACATTCTTTTTTAATCCAGTCTGTCATTGATGGGCATTTAGGTTGATTCTGTGTCTTTGCTATTGTGAACAGGGCTGCAATGAAAATTCACTATGGTAGAATGATATATATTCCTCTGGGTATATATCCATTAATGGGATTGCTGGGTCAAACGGTAGTTCTGCAGTTAACTCTTTGAAGAACCACCATACCACTTTCCATAGTAGTTGAACTAATTTACACTCTCTCCAACAGTGTATAAGTGTTTCCTTTTCTCCAAAACTTCACCAGCATCTGTTATTTTTTTTCTACTTTTTATTAGTAGCCATTCTAACTGGTACAAATTTTAACTTTGTAACTTTATAACTTTTTAATTGTTTTTATTAGCCACTTGCTTCAATTTTTTTCTTTGAAGCCTTTGATTAAAACATATAATAACCCATACCATCTCCTGATACTATCTGTGGTGGCAGATTCACAGCAGCCCCTCCCATCCTTATCACTCTCCCTGGGATGTCTGGATAGGGCTTTTAACAGAGAGTTGCATTCCTATAGGCAATTAAGCTGCCCATCTGCCCCAGGACAGTGGTGCTGTTGTAGAAATCTCACAGATGCATCTGTCTCCCCTTCTAGAGGCTATTGCTTTGAGGACAGGATTCCATCTCCATGCTAAATCTCCCCATCCCCACCCCTAGTGAATGGCACCATGCCCTGCATAGACTCTGTGCTGAATGTCAAATAAGACAGTACTCTAAAAAACTGGATTTGGAAGCAAGATACCTAGTGTGTTTCCTGGCTTGGCAACTATGAGACTTTCTTATCTTGGGTCAATCCACTCCTTCTGTTTTTGCCTCTAATTTCTTTATGAATGAGGGATTGCAGTGGGCCAGTAAGAGCAGCCTAGGCTTTGTGTCATGATGACACACTTCTTACACCACCCTTAGTAGCTGTGTGCCTGAGGTGAGTCACTGCCATTTCCAAGCCCCGATGGCTTCACTTGTAAATGGAACTAACATAGTCTGCCTCACACAGTTGCTGAGATATTTTTTCCACAGACTGCCCCACTCCTTTCTGCAAAATTAGTAAGTTGTTTTTTCGCTGCTATATCATCAGTACTAGGACAGTGCCTGGGGCATAATTAGTACTCAATAGATACCTGTAAATGAATGAATGCAAAGCTAATCCCCAGCGTGCATGGGCACGTGCACACACACGCACAAGCACACGGACACACGCACACACACGCACAAGCACACAGACACACGGACACACACACATACACCGTCTATCTCACAGACCCTTGGAAAGAATGAAACACTACCTGGAAAGTATTTTGAGTTTTGCAGAAAATAATGCCTTAAACATCTAAAGTTATGTTCCTAGTTATCTTTGTATTTCTTCTTTCCCACACAAGTGCCTAAATTTTAGTAGCAAAAACAGTTGTCCCTGACCATCACTGAGTGGGCTGAGTGTTTTGTTTTGTTGTGTGATTGTCTCAAATTTTGACTTTATCACAGGACTCAGAAGCTGCTATCGAAAAATCCAAAGAATCCTTATGAGGAGTCGAACAGAGATGTGAGCAGTCGCAGGCCTGCTGACAGTGAGGCTGGGATGTCCTCCTGCCCTCAACCTTGGGTAATGTGACCAAAGCAGATGAAGCAAGGAATTGGCTTGATATCAACCCCTGTTCATTTTTTTTTCTAATTTTTCACTGAGTTCAGAATGATTGGAATCTTATAGCTTCCAGGTGGTGTCAATGTTAGCCAAGACCACATCAGCTAGGGAGGTCCTGGGTGGGAGGGTGTGGGAACTGTGTTGCTAATTAAAGGAATCAGATGAGTTATAATAATGCCATAATTTAATGGCACAATAAATTTTTGAAATTTTCTTTCATGTAGATTCTATAACTTAGATTTGTATGTGTTATGTGAAGACTTTCCATATTTTTAGTTGATACATTCCAGTTAGATGTCTTAAAAACCCAAGATTATGCTTCTAATTTCTTTTATTAATTTTACCTTTTTGGTGCTGTTTCTTTTTTTCTTTTTAAATTGTCCTTTAAGTTCTGGGGTACATGTGTAGAACATGCAGGTTACATAGGTATACACATGCCATGGTGGTTTGCTGCATCCATCACTTTGTCATCTACATTAGGTATTTCTCCAAACGCTATCCTTCCCCTAGCTCCCCACCCCGACAGTCCCTGGTGTATGATGTTCTCCTTCCTGTGCCCATGTGTTCACATTGTTCAACTCCCACTTATGAGTGAGAACATGCAGTGTTTGTTTTTCTGATCTTGTGTTAGTTTGCTGAAAATGAGGGTTTCTAGATTCATCAATGTCCCTATGAAGACATGAACTCATCCTTTTTTATGGCTGCATAGTATTCCATGGTGTATATGTGCCACATTTTCTTTATTCAGTCTATCATTGATAGGCATTTGGGTTGGTTCCAAGTTTTTGCTATTGTGAACAGTGTTGCAATAAACATACGTGTGCATGCATCTTTATAATAGAATGATTTACAATTCTTTGGGTATATACTCAGTAATGGGATTGCTGGGTCAAATGGATTTCTATTTCTAGGTCCTTGAGGAATCGCCACACTGTCTTCCACAATGGTTGAACTAATCTACACTCCTACCAACAGTGTAAAAGTGCCTATTTCTCCACATCCTCTCCAGCATCTGTTGTCTCCTGACTTTTTGATGATCGCCATTCTAACTGGCATGAGATGGTATCTCAATGTGGTTTTAATTTGCATTTCTCAAATGACCAGTGATAATGAGCTTTTTAAAATGTTTGCTGGCTGCATAAATGTCTCCTTTGGAGAAGTGTCTGTTCATATCCTTCTTTTCTTTCTTTTTTTTCTTTTTTTGAGACAGGATCTAGCTCTGTCACCCGGGCTGGAGTGCAGTGTCCAGCCATGGCTCACTGAAGCCTCGATCTCCTGGACTTAAGCGATCCTCCCACCTCAGCCTCCTGAATAGCTGGGACTACAGGCACACACCTTCCACACCCAGCTAATTTTTGTTTTGTTTTTTTGTAGAGACAGTTTCACCATGTTGCCCAGACTTATCTCAAACTCTTGGGCTCAAGCAATCCACCTGCATTGGCCTCCCAAAGTGCTGGAATTGCAGGCATGAGCCACTGCGTTAAGCTCTAATTTTCTTAATATTTCTTTCTCATACACAGTTCAACTCCCTAAATTTCAGTAGCAAAATAGTTGCCAGATTACAAACAAAAATATAGAATGCCTAGTTAAATTCATGCTTATACTGAAAGTTCAAGTTTAAATTCAAAGTTAAATTTAACTGGGTTCTGTATTTTATCTGACGATCCTAAATATTTTCCAAAAAGCACAGAGGTTTGGGAAGTTCAAGATGCTTCATAAATCATCCACTTCAGTAATTGGTCTTGGAACACTAGAGGGCAGTCTTGAGACAGGCTACACATTCTTGAATCAGTTAAGGGAATCTCCATTGCCAGAAACCTGTCAGAGTCAACGACTGATTCAGTGGATGCTGTTGGCATTATTTGTGGTATGTATTGTGGAAGAGACTGGCATATGTGGCAGATTCATGGACGATTGAATCCTTAGGGAAGCTCTAACAGGCAGAGGTTATGGAGGAGCAAAGACAATGTTTGGGGTCCTTCCCACCTCATTCCCCCTACTCCTAGCTCCCATCTCACTGTGAATTCCCAAAAAGTAGCTTCCTGTGACTGTGCTTTTGACTACCAGGTGATCATCTGTTCCTCCCTGTAATAGGCTTTCAGTGTTTCCTTATTTTTTTGGTTGGACTCAAGTTTGAGGGCAAAAAAAAAAAAAAAAAAAAAAAAAAAATAGAAGCTGGGCGAGGTTGCTCATACCTGTAATCCCTGTGTTTGGGAGGCCTCCTCAAGGCAGGAGGATTGCTTGAGGCCAGGAGTTTGAGACCAGCCTGAACAACGTAGCAAGATCATATCTCTTAAAAAAATTTAAAAAACTTTGCTGGGTGTGGTGGTGCATACTTGTAGTTCCAGCTACTCAGGAAGCTGAAGCAGGAGGGTCACTTGAATCCAAGAGTTCAAGGTTGCAGTGAGCTATGGTAGCACCACTGCACTCCAGCCTGAGTGACTGAGTGAGACATGAGAAGAAGAAATGTGAGTTCTAGTCTTACTCCCCCACCAATTGGTTATCTACATAAAATTCTTTAACCTATGCAGACCTCTGCTTCCCCCTCAGTACAAGGGGTTTGGATTAGATTATCTTTAAGGTCCCTTCAGTCTTCATCAACTCCACCCGTGTGTGATTCTTGGAGAACTTAGCTGTAGAATGTGCTTGGTTCTTTGAGGCTTCATGACTTTCTGAACTTCTAAGTTACCCAGATTTTACTTGTCAGGCTACATGATATTTCATTCAGGTTTTGAATAGCAGGTTTAATTTATCTCATTAAGTCATCATCATGGGAGTGAAGGAGAAACACAATCTGTGTATGCCTATTAAAAAATCAAAAGCATTTGCTGCTGTCATGAGCAACTTGTTGGCTCTGAACTATGTTAGGAGGCCTGGGGCTGCTGAGCTCAGTCCCCTACATCCTTCATAACTGTCATTGACAGCAGCTGCTGCTACAGTTATCAGTGGGGGTCGGGGAGAGCTGAACGCTCAAACTAGAGGAAGCAGCAGCAGAAACAAATCTGGTTCCATCAGCTGCTTTTCCCACCTCAGCCCAGAATTCCGGGACCTATGTTCCTCTGGCAGAGAGGCATGAGGTTAGAAAACTTGCAGTGCAGAGGGTTGAATTTTGGCTTGAGACAGAAATAATGGGCATGTGTCTTTAAACAGTGGATCCTGTGTTGATTTTGCAATGTGTTGCTGCAGGAGATCATTAATGAGGACAAGATGAAGCATGATTAGTATTGTAAAAAATAAGAAAATGAAAATGCATGTTGTCTGGATTCACCCTTCCCTTATCAACATTTCCCTGTCTTCTCCCTAATTGGCCCCACTCATCATCCCTTTCTACACCTTTCTCAAAGGAAAATATGGACAAAGAGTTTTTTTTTCTACTCCTCTTTCTGTTGTTTCTGAGTTGCACACTCCTTTCTGTGGAGGGCCCATTTCTGAACCAATGGAGACTGATCAGCCAAAACTTCGGGCCAGTCCTTGTACTGGTTACTGATTGACAAGGAAGGACTTCACCAAATGATGTCCTTTGTCCTGCTGTATGCGGTTACTTCTTTCCTTTCCTTGTAGCATGGATCTGTTTTAATATCTAATCTATCTAGAGTGAATGTGAGCCAGTGATCTCTGGTCAGCCTGCATTGCAAGTGCCCAATCAATTTTTGATAATACAAATAATGACAAAAGTAATCATTTTGTTGACTTGAAGAGAAATGTTGTTTTCTGTTCCTCCCTATTAAAATTCTGGGTCCCCAGGCTGTTCAACCAGCTTGCGAAATTGTCATTGCACTAGTAGTTATTAGTACCTTTAATGGCCCCAAATTACTCAGAACTTGGTAGCATGTTTAAATGAGTGTTATAAATGTGTGTGTGCGTGTGTGTATGAAAAGTTGTAGCACATACATATATGAGATATTATTTGTCTGGCCTATGGGCAAAGAATACTTAGGGATTCTTGGATTGCTTGTGGTAAATCAGTGGCCTTCAGGGATCCATGACCCTAAAAGCTGAGATTCCAGAATTAGAATAGATTCTTCAGTTAACATATTGGTAGTGCCTAGTTGCTTTGAGAGAAAGTAACACAACGTTCTTCAATGAATGCTGAATCTCTCTTTAGCTAGAAAGACAAACTTCACAGGGCCTTTCTTCTGACTTTCACTTTACATACGATGAATATTGTAAAGCCATAGACTTTGATTCAATGATGTTGAGATCATTTGTGAATGATAACAATATCCTCTCTGTGTCCTTTTTGTTGTCTGCAGTTTGTGGTTATAAAGGAACACCAAGACCTCAGGATTGGGAGTCAACCGGAGGCTGGTGAGGATGGTCATGCAGCAGATGTTGGTCAGTTTTTATCCCTGGCTCCTGGTGAATGGTTGCTTTTACTTAGTTCCTTACTGTTTTTCAGTCAAAAGTCTCATTTAACCACACACGCACACACACACACACACACACACACACACAAAACATAACTAAATTGCATAAGCTCTGTGAGTAGCTGGGCTGTATTGAAATGCCATGGACCTTATTTGCACTTGAGTTGTGTCTTACATGAAGCTAACATGTTCACTCAGAACTCTAGTCACAGAGCAGCCCATGTCCTTGCACTTTGAGCAAGAATACAATGGGTGACTCCTGGATTTGAACTGAGTTTTGAGATCATTCTTTGGGTCCAGGATCTATACTGGTAGCTGCAGTAGTCCCAGTTAAGTTCTAAATGGTTTCAAGAAAACATGTTCCATGTTCAATCCGTCTAGTGGGAAGGGTTTCTGTGAATTTAAGTTGATGTGAGGATTGTCCTGGGGATTTCAGAGTATTCTGGTCTTATCAGGGGCCTGACCTTAGCCAGACGCCTGGCTGTCTGTGAAGTCCAGCCAAGCCACTGGTGGAGAGGCCATAAAACCAACCCCGGTTCTCAGGAACTCAGTCTACTTTGGAGAGAAATGAACTCAGATACCCTTTCACATAATACTTTTTCCAAGAGTTGCGTTACGATCAACCTTTTGGGTTTGGGTCTCAGTTTGAGTTTTGTTTCACAGGCCAGAGGACATTGCATCACAGGCCAAAGGCATTTTTGACCATGCCTTTGTGTCATGAGCCTTTGGAAAGGTTTAGAGAAACGTTTAGCCAACAAAAACAGTACCTCTGCTAATGAAAGGAGCTCATGAAATATCAACTCTAATTATATTTTCCATATTTTTTCCTTCTTCAATATGCTTATTACCGCAAACTCCTCCTCAGACTTCTTTCTGGAAAGAACATAGGCTTCTTATTTTGGAAAACTTGCTCTAAATTCCCTTCTCATACCTATGTTGCCATGAAACCCCAAATACTGAATTCAGTACAACTTTGTTACCTAATTTGAAGAAGGCCTGGATATTAAGGTACACTTAAGAATTGAATGTGAAAACTACAATAAGTAACAGTTTTCTATATGGATCATTACTTTCCCCTGATGAAAAATTCAGCATTTTCAAAAATTTGTTTCAGTGTTTATCGTTATGGGTAACACTATTAAAAAGTAATGGAATATCTCCTAGTTACCACTTTTCCTTGAGCAGCTAAAAACACAATTCATTCTTATAATGGTAATCCACTATAGAGGCACAAGTAATACAGTTTTGCAAGCTAAGAGCACAATAATTTGCCAGGAATTTGGTTAAACTTAGAAAAGAACTAAGGACTTGTTACAGCTAGCTGAATACTCAGGAATATGTTAGAATGTCTCTCTCTGCTACTGCTGTATTGTCCCCCCCTCACCCCCGCACTGTACTGCAAACAATTTGACCCATTCTCTGTGGGTCACTCATATAACTGTCTCCCAGAAGGACTGATCACATCCCCGATCATGTCCAGCTGTCTCATAAATGCCTGGGGTGAAAGTGCGCATAGAGATTGGGGTGTGGGGAGGTCAAGTGAGGAATTAAACAGAAGATCAAGTTTGGCTCTGAGTCAATTTCTTCTCTGCTCCTGAAAAACGTATTAAAATGCAATACTAGTGTAGTTCCATAAAACCATCTTCGTTGAGCTCAGCCAACATCAGCTGACACAGGTTAAGTGCAGAGCATATGCTAGGGGCAGCTGACCATGCCAGGGGAAAGGAAAACAAATACATCTAAAATCTGAGCTCAGACCAGGTATGGTGGCTCACACCTGTAATCCCAGGACTTTGGGAGGCCAAGGCAGGCAGATCACTTGAGATCAGGAGTTAGAGACCAGCTTGGCCAACACCTCTACCAAAAAACACAAAAATTAGCCTGGCATGGTGGTGCACACTTGTAGTCCCAGCTACTCAGGAGGCTGAGGTGGGAGGATCATTTGAGCCTGGGAGGTGGAGGTTGCAGTGAGCTGAGATCGCAACACTGCATTCCAGCTTGGCTGAAATAGTGAGACTCCATTTCAGAAAGAAAAACCAAAAAAATCCTGGGCTCTGTCTACTCTTAAGTCATTTGTGGTCCAGATGGGGAGACAGGAAGTACACAGTAAAAGCTGAAGAGCAATGTGTCAGGTAGTACAGTTCTTTAAATCATCTCAATTAACTAAGACTATTTTAATTAAAAAGATTTAAGATGCCAACCAAGGCTCTTCTAATTTTTAAAAACTTCTTTTCAGTCAAGGTCTTACTCTGTCACCCAGGCTAAAGTACAGTGGCTTAGTCATGGCTCATTGCTCAAGCGATTCTCCAACCTCAGCCTCCTAAGTAGCTGGGACCACAGGCGTGCACTACCATGCCCAGCTAATTTTTTATTTTATGTAGAGATAGAGTCTCCCTATGTTACCCAGGCTGGTCTTGAACCCTTGGGTGCAAGCCATCCTCCCACCTCAGCCTCCCAAGGTGATGGAATTATAGACATGAGCTACTGTACTGGCCTATTTAATTTTCAAAAAATTGGGCCCAGAGTGGGGCACGGTGGCTCATACCTGTAATTCTAGCATTTTGTGAGGTGAGGTGGGTGAATCACCTGAGCCCAGGAGTTCAAAACCAGCCTGGCCAACATGGCAACCCTGTCTCTAATAAAAATACAAAAATCAGTCGGGTGGTCCTAGCTACTCAGGAGGCTGAGGTGGAAGGATCACCTGACCCCGAGGAAGCGGCTGTGGTGAGCTGTGATTGTGTCACTGTGCTCCAGCCTGGGTGTCACTCCAGCCTGGGTGACAGAGTGAGACCCTGTATAAAGACAGACAGAAAGAAAGAAAAAGAAAATGTGTCTAGAGTAGTTTGAAAATGGGTTATATTTGTGTTTCAGGCCAGTTCTGCCATTTATGATTTCTCTTGCCAAGTGTTATGAATGATATGAATACTGAAATTTCTTTTGTCTTTTGTATAGGGTCAGTGCAACCAACTTCATGGAGTAAGGAGCCCCATTTATGTGGAATGGGCATCGAGCAAGGCTGCTGGATTCCAGTATCCAGTGATAAGGGCTCCTGTCCCCAGGAAATGGAGCAAAGCTTTCATATGCCCTCCCATGGAACACAGCCCCTTGATGGGGTTGTCGAGAAGCCCCATTCTCTCCTGTCAGCTAACCCATTATGGCAACAAAGGGCCCTGGACCCATCACACCACATGGAGCTGACTGAGTGAAAACTGGAATTAAAAGGAAAGTCAAGAAGAATGAACTATGTCAATGGACAGTATCTTTTTTTCCAAAAGTAGAGGAAAACTATAGGTTTTGGTTCCACAATCTCTACGACTAATCACCTACTCAATGCCTGGAGACAGATCTGTAGTTGTGCTTTTGTTTATTCTTTCAAGCAGTCTCATTGCCATCTTATTTTCAAGTAAGAGTACTGGGAGAATCACTAGGTAACTTATTAGAAACCAAAATTGGGACGATAGTGCTTTGTAAATTGTGTTGTCTTCAGTAGTCAATACAAATAGATTTTAGTTTTTGTTGTTCCTGCAGCCCCAGAAGTAGTTAGAGGTTGAAGCAGACAATCACAATGGTCAGTTACAAAGTAATTTCTTTGATCTGGACAGAACGTTTATGTCAATTTCATGAAATTATTAGAATATTACGATACTGTTCAGATACAGTGTAGGCATTTAACTCTCATTGGCATGGTACAATGCTGATAATTTTGCAAAATGAATTGTGATGAATCAATGAAAAATGTAATTTAGAAACTGATTTCTTCAGAATTAGATAGGTTTTTTTTTTCTAAATCTTTGAATGAAAACATTTTATTTTAAAAATATTACACGGGAGGCTTCAGGGTTTCTCAGTTATTACTGTCCTTCTCCCCCACAGAATTTGTATGTATTTTCAAATACAAGATTTTAAGTAAATTGACTGATTTATTTTCATTATAGGTAACAATGAATTTCTTCTAATTATTTAAATAAAATTACCAGAAAACATAAACATTTCATTGTATGCCTGGTTAAGTAGTTAATTATAGTCTAAGGCAGTGCTAGAGTTGAACCAAAATTATTTGTCAAGTTTGCTGATGTTCCTGTTTTTTTTTAGAGAGAGGATTGTGTCTCACTCTGTTGTCCAGGCTGGAGTGTGTGATGGCACAGTCATAGCTCAGTGCAGCCTCTAACTCCTGGGCTCAAGCTATCCCCCTGCCTCGGCCTCCAGAGTAACTAGGACCACAGACACAGGTCACCATGCCTGGCTAAATTTTTTATTTTTATTTTTTGTAGAGATGAGGGTCACCAATGTTGTCCAGGCTGGTCTTGAACTCCTGGCCTCAAGCAAAGTCATGCTGGTAATTTTGCAAAATGAATTGATTTGCTTTCAGCCTCCCAACATATTAGATTACAGGCATGAGCCATGGTGCCCAGCGTTGTAGCTCTTTAAAAAATAATTTTTCATCTACAACTCTAACTTTATAAATTAAAATTTCACATGGTGTTCTAATTAAATATTTTTCTTACAGCCAAAGTATTGTTATTAGAGATAACACAACCTGATATAGTGACTTTGAATTTTGGGGGCTTTGAATCATTCAGTTTATGCATTAACTAGTCCCTTTGTTTATTTTTCATTTCTCAACTCCTTGGACTTTGGTGATTCCAGACATCAGAATAAAAAGAAATTGAAGTACCTGCTTTCAAATGGATACTTTATAAGAATTATGGTAAAAATTTGGTGCTGGGGAGGATGACTTGAGGTTTGTGGATATTAATTATTCAGTATGACACCTCACCCAGCTACTTTAGATTTTTCTATATTCAGTTTTGCTTTCATTGACAATTAATATCCTAGAGGATCAGAAGACTTATCTATTTCTGCTGAGTGAACTGACCTCAGAAAAATAACAAAGTTTTCTTTCCCTAAGTGGGAATATTTTTTCTTCCTCCAAAAGCTCACTTTTGGGTTTAAATTACATTTTTGTATTTTAGCACCTCCTTCTTGTAGGGTTTCAATGATGAAAAAAGAAATGATACGAGATCACAGCTACCCATAACATACCATTATCTTTGAACCAGAAAATCCTTGTTTCCTGTTTAATGACTCTGGTACCTTAGAAACTGGGATCCTGCTAAGTCCTTGACTAGGCTGTCCACCACCTCCTGGTTGGACTAAAGAAAAAACGCACTTTGTGTTTTTTAATCAACAAGCCACGCTGCAGAGATATCTTCTTCTTGCAACTTTGCATTTTTACCAGTAATGTCTTCTTTTCTTTAAAAATTCAAGTTTTTAAAACAGCATTTTCATGTAAAAACTTGATTCATGTTTTTTCCAGACTGAATGCTTTTACTCCCTAACTCTCAGGGTCTCATTTTGCACAATGCCTGATTGAAATTCCATGACTAAATGTCATCTACATCTAAAATGAGCATTCTGGCCTCTTTTCTAGCATCTAGTAAAGGCTAAATATACTGTATTCTTTTGAAACCACATGATTTCAGTCCAACTATTAGCCTTGATTTCTAACTGATGTCCTTTTCATGAGAATAAATTATTGTGTGATCATTACTAAATTATAAATCCTTAGAAAACACATATACACCTACAAGCAAAACAAACAAAAGGCTAAAAGAAACAAAATATCTAGTCAATTTAAGCAGCTGTGACAGGCAAGATTTTATGTTTTGCTTTGTTTTCTTTTACTTTTTATTTCCTCTTCATTCTTTAAGTCTTTAAATGAGAAATTCTTTTCTGCCTTGGTTCATTCCGAAGCAGGAATTCCAAACTTTCCTGTTTGGAACTTGACAGGGTTTCTGCAGCTAGAGGCCACATGCTAGCAACAAGGAAAACACCAGGCTTTCCATGCCTGGCTGCTTTGTACTGTTTGAGCCAGAGAAGCTGTAACTGTTTCCAGACTTTCATCCCTGCATGTCATTGGGATATAGTTGGTCACTGTGGTTAGATGCAGCAAAAGACAGATGCACTGGTACCAGCTCATCCTCACTTTTCCTGGTGGTGGTTGCTGCCAGCCTGCAGATTGTCCCCACTGTCCCTTCCTTAGTGTTTCCTAAGTCTCTTTTTCCTGAGTGTTGGCCCTGATGCACCCTTGGTGATTCCAGACCCACCACCAGACAGACGCAGCATCCTTCCATAAACTTCCCTGCCTGGTCCGCTGGATGCTCCTCCCCACTTGGGAAGCAGGGAATGCCTGGCTTCTTGGGTTTCCCCGCCAACTCCAACTTGTCCACACATCCCATTGCATCAGAGTGCTGATCAGTGACTTTGCTCTAATCCTCCAAATCCCTTTTCTGTACCTTATTTTTCCAGCTCCTCTTGCAATTATGTAAGATTTAATTTCTATAAGAAATTACTTTTATTACATAGTATGCAATGATTTGCTTTCTTGATTGAACTCTGATGGATAAAATAGGCAAATTCAACCAAATATTCAAAGAACACATCATTCTTATATACAAATTCTATATAATAGAGAAAGGAAAATACTCCTCATTTTATGGAGTCTTATTTCTATAGTAGACAAGTATAGCACAAGAAAGAAAGATTACAGGTCAAACTCAATCACAAATATAGACGTGAAAAGTCTAAACAAAATATTAACAAAATGGCCTTGGCAGTATATCACAAAAATAACATTTCATGGCCAATTGGTAATTATATAATAAATGAAAGATTGGTTAAATATTTAAAATCATTAGTTTCATTCAACACAGTACCAAAGCAAAAGAGAAAAAAAAAAACAGAAAAAGTTTTCAATAAAATTCAATATGTTTCCACAACAAAACTTCTTAGCAAAAATATAAGGAAAAGTTGAATTCCTGGCCAGGTGCGGTGGCTCACGCCTGTAATCCCAGCACTCTGGGAGGCCAAGGTCGGTGTATCATGAGGTCAGGAGTTCGAGACCAGTCTGGCCAAGATGGTGAAACCCCATCTCTACTAAAAACACAAAAAAAATTAGCCTGGCATGGTGGCATGCACTTGTAGTCCCAGCTACTGGGAAGGCTGAGGCAGAAGAATCGCCTGAACCTAGGAGTCTGAGGTTGCAGTGAGCCAAGATCGTGCCACTGCACTCCAGCCTGTGTGCAACACTACCATTACTTCTATTAAACATTGTGCTAGATATCCTAGATAGCAATCTGACAGCATAATAATATCCTAAAGCAGTAAGATTAGATTTTTTTAAATATGTAGGGATTAAAAATTTTTAAATTATACTCTATTTGCAGATGATATAGTCGTCCAGAGAAAATGCAAGATAATCTATAAATTACAAGTAGTAACACAAAATCAATATATCTCAGTAATGCTAACTAGAAAATGCAGTTAAAATGTGTAAATTATAATAGTAATATATATGTAAAATAACCATGAATAAATCTAACAGGTGTCCAAGCCCATTATACAGAAAACTAAAAATGGACGTTGGCTGGGTGCAGTAGCTCACACCTGTAATACCAGCACTGTGGGAGCCTAAGGCAGGAGGATAACTTGAGACCAGGAGTTCCAGACCAGCCTGGGCAATAGAGTCAGCACCTGTTTCTATTGAAAGAAGAAAAAAAAAAGAGCTGGGCCTGGTGGCTCATGCATGTAATTCGAGCACTTTGGGAGGCTGAGGCGGGCGGATCACCTGAGGTCAGGAATTTGAGACCAGCCTGACCAACATAGTTGAACCCTGTCTTAAAAAAAAAAACTAAAAAACAAAAAGAAGGGAAAGACATTAAAGATTGAAAGATGACCTAAAAGAAGATATACAAAGTTCATTAATAGGAAGTCTTAATGTTATAAAGTCATTAATTCTCCCCAAACAGATGTAACAGTTCAATAATATTTTAATTAAAATCTCATGTTTTTTTCCATTAAGCCTGGCAAACTAATTATAAAGTTAATATGAGAAGCTCTAGCTATGAACATCTAGATTTATCAGAAACCTACTGCTAGGAATAACTAAGAAAACTGGATAAAAAACAACAATTCATTTGAGGGCATCAGCTAAATATTAAGGCAATGAGGATTCTAGGGGCTAAGATCTTAAGTAAGAATGAAAAATGAAAAGAGATAAACCTGACACTCAGTGTGTCACTCCTCCTCTTTCAGCATTTGCTAATTCATAAACAGCAGGCTAAAAGAAGAATACAGAGAATAGCGGTAACATGAGAAATTGAGCAGAGCTTTTGCCATTGTTATGGGGCTAGGAGAAAAAATCAGAATTTAGGACCTGTCAAAGAAGAATGGCCCTTGATGACCAACCCAAGGCTTCACATAAGATCTTTGAAGATCCACATTGTAGGCCAAAGACCTAACTAGAAACAGTCCAGCCCTCACAAAGAAATAGAAATTCAAAATAGTTCATTCCCTAATAAAGTTATTTGATCCCATCTTTAATGTTGCTACAAGCGAAAGTGAATTTTCTCTGAAATAATTAATGCCATTCAGAATCTATTTCTTAATTTTTTATATATAACATCTGGCATTCAACAAAAAATTACCAGACAAGCCAGGGGATAATTAGCCAAAGCAAGAGAGGGAGGGAGGGAGGGAGGAAGGGAGAGAGAAACAAAAGGCCAAATAAGCAGACCTACAGGAGATTCAATTATTGAAGTTATTAAACATGGATTTTAAAATAACTTAGGTTATATACTGAAGAATACACAGAGTGAGAAAAAGAATTTCAGCAAGAATTGGAATCTTTAAAAACAATAAACTTGTAAATACAATAACTAAAAGTAAGAACTTATTAAATAGGTTTAACAACAGATTAAACACAGCTGAAGAAAGAATTAATGAAATAGAAAATAGATCAGCCAGGCATGGTGGAGCACACTGTAGTCCCAGCTACTCAGGAGGCTGAGGCTGGAGAATTGCTTGAGCCCAAAAGTTCAAGACCAACCTGGGCAATATAGTAAGAGAGAGTGTGTGACCTCATCTTATAAAAAGAAAGAAAGAAAATAGGTCAACAGAAAATATCCATACTGAAGCATAAAGAGAAATAAAGAATAGAAAATACAGAAAAAGCATAAGAACACAAAAAAACTTCTAAGGTGTTTTTTAATTGTAGAAAGACAGAAGCAAGACTGGGGTAAAAGCAATATTTGAAAAGATCATATGTGAAAACATTCTAATAATGAAAAATAATAAACAATACAAAGCCAAGCAATAAATACAAATCAAACCATAAATAGAAATCTTAAAAAATTTTTTAAAGCAGTCAGATATAAGAAACATTATTTTCAAATGAACAAGATGGTCCATCATGAACAAATGAACATTAATGGAAATTATGAATGCCAGCAGAAAATATAATAATTGGTTGAGTGCAGTGGCTCACACTTGTAATCCCAGTACTTTGGGAGGCCAAGGTGGGAGGATCACTTGAGCCTAGGAGTTTGAGACTAGGCGGGGCAACATAGGGAGACCCTGTCTCAAATAAAATAAAAGATAAAAAAAAAAAAAAGAACAATGTGTTTAAAGTGTTGAATGAACTAGAATTCTACATCCAGCCAGCAAAAATAGTGTTAAAGGTGAAAGCAAAATAAAGACTTTAGATAACAAAAACCTAAAGAATTGGACAACAAAACACCTGTACCAATACAGATATTGAAGAAAAATTTTCAGGCAAAAATAAAATGATCCCAGATGAACTCATGAAAATACAGCAAAAAATAAACAATTGAAAG